AAGCTTCTTTTTTAGAGGTTCACTAAATGTTCCTTTTTTACCATAGCATTGTGTTCTTCTTTCATAGATAGAATTATCTCTTATTTTCTTACTGAGACTATTACTGATATATATTTTTAAAGTTTTCTTCTCCATGAATTGTCTCATGGGTAAGAGAGAGCCACAGCAAGCTAAGAGCCCCGTGTATCTGAAGGATTTGAGATCTTCATTGTAGATTGCTTTGATGGTCTATAGCCTTGAGAAGCTATCCTGTTGCTACCTTTTGGTTTGCTCTGAAGTTTATAAGATTCCCCAGGAAGACTGAGTTTTGCCTGGAGCATATTGTACACTTGGCTACCAGCATTCTGGGAGCCACGTTGGGGGAAAATTCTAGGAAGGCTGACATTCCTTACATACAGCTTCACTTTACAGAATGATACTTTTAATGTCAACTGTGTATGCCTTGTTGCTCCACAGCCAGACTCTTTTTTGCCCTCTTCAGAGAATAATCTTCCCGTCTTTTGCTGGAATGGAGGAAGAACAGTCATTCAACTACTTAGTCATTTAGCCATCTCCTTAACTTGAGACCTGCCTTCTCCACCAAGGTGGACCCTCCTCCGCCAGGGCTTCTCTGGTGGCTTAGACGGTAAAGCGTCTGCCTGCAATGTGGGAGACCCGGGTTTGATCCCTGGCTTGGGAAGATCCTCTGGAGAAGGACACAGCAACCCACTCCAGTACCCTAGACTGGAAAATTCCATGGACAAAGGAGCCTTGGAGGCTACAGTCTGTGGGGTCGCAAAGAGCCAGACACAACTGAGCGACTTCACTTCACTTTCTTCACCGCGTCTAGAAACAGCTAATGCTGCCAAATCTTATGACTTTGTGAGGTCTGCTGCACACATCTGGTTGCTTCGCACTTTCCCCACTCTGGCTTGGCATCCAGCTTTTCCAAATTTGCTCAGTTATCAATGAACCATCACTTTCCAGCTTCAAATTTTTGCTGTTATCGACTCTTTCTCCATCCTCTTTGGCCCCATGGGTTTATGTCTTTTTGCAGTATCTCTTCATTGTTTTTTTAGAGCCTTGCATGAGGGTAGGAAGGTGAGTATGTTCTCTCTCCTTTCTTTAACTAGAAGGCCAAGGGTAGTTCTTGGCTTTTAAAGAATTAACACTTTACAGTATCTCATTTAATTTGAAATGTGTGGATCACACACTTTTAATGGAAAATTATACTTTCTCCAAAAGAAGAGTTTTAAGTGTTAGAAATTAATTTAATGTTTCTTTTTAGAAAAAAATGAGTGTGAAGCTCTAGTCACCTCACAAATCTTTAGCTTTGTGCATCTAAATTACCCAAACAACCAAATAATCACAGCTCTGCCCCCCTAGGCCTCCTACCCCTTTAAATCAGAGGCTCCTGAGTCCATTTCCCTTTTAACCCACTAACCTTTTTAATAGTAGCCCTTTCATAAGTTCCAATAAGTGCTTCCAGCTGAGTAATATACATAGCATGCCTTCCTCATTATTATTGGCCCATTAAAAAATATACAAAAATCAGAGTTGAGAGTGCGCTGTGAAAAATCAAAGTATTTAACCATGGCCATCATGCATACATGAACAATGAGCTATTCTTGGAAAATTCAACACAAGTGGTTTATAAAAAGACATTCCTATGACATAAGGGTGAATGTTATTCTTAAGTACATTTTGCTTTCTAGAGAAATCAGCGATTTCTTTCTCCTACTCCTCTGCTGTGTACTGGTATATTGAGTGAATGGAGGCTATGAATTGATTCTAGTTGTCACGGTCTTGATGTAAAATTTCTTGAGAGGTTCTGCTAGAGAAATCTCTGCCAGGCTAGAATCTGAAAAATATGGATATGAAGGTATCTTTAGCCCCAATTTATTTTTCACCTAATGCTAATTTAAAGGAAGCCCTCAGGAGACACAAAAGATTTGTGGTTTTTCAGGAAAAATTACACCTGAAGCCCTCAGCTTTGCAAAACTATCAGCTTTGCTCTCCTAAGCTCTGCAAAATAATAAAATGCTGGCCCCTTTCTTTTACAAATAATGCTCAGTTTAAGACCCAGCCCAGGCCACCTGGCAAGCTACTGGTAGGAATGGCATGGAGTTACGTCCTTATTTCAAGTGGCAGGGGTAGATTCTTCTCCCTAAGCACAGGCAATGTTGCAGGGGCATTGCATCCCAGGGTGAAAGTTTTAGACCTCCCCTTTTCCTTTTGTAAGAACACAGAGGTATATCCAAGTGAGGGGTGACAACAATAATGAAAGGGAAGATCATATGTAATTCCAAAAGAAAGTAGAAAACAATCTCCTATTTCAGCCTACTTGATGGAACAATCACTGCAGATGGTGACTGCAGCCATGAAATTAAAAGATGCTTGCTTCTCAAAAGAAAAGCAATGACAAATCAACAGCATATTTTAAAGCTGAGATGTTATTTGCCAACAAAGGTCCATCTAGTCAGAGCTATGGTTTTTCTAGTAGTCATGTATGGATGTGAGAACTGAATCAGAAAAAGTCTGAGTGCTGAGGAATTCATGCTTTTGAACTGTGGTGTTGGAGAAGACTCATGAGAGTCACTTGGACTGCGAGGAGATCAAACCAGTCCATCCTAAAGGAAATCAATCCTGAATATTCACTGGAAAGGCTGATGCTGAAGCTGAATCACCAACACTTTGGCCATCTGATGCAAAGAGCCGACTCATTAGAAAAGACCCTGATGCTGAGATAGATTGAGGGCAGGAAGGGGACAACAGAGGATGAGATGCTTGGATAGCATCACTGACTCATCAAGCTCCAGAAGAGGGTGAAGAACAGGGAGACCCGGCATGCTTCAGTCCATGGGGTTGCAGAGTTGGACACGACTGAGCGACTGAATGAAATTTCAGCCTACTTGATGAGAATGTATAGAAGGGGTGGAAAACCTCCCCTAGCTGTGAGACTTGTATGACTGTCCAGGACCCCGAAGAGAATCTGGGATAGGTTGAGCTGGGCCTGGCTTTCTTGAATCTGACCCTGTCGTGGTTTGTCGCATTTAAGTTGAAGAGCCTGCATAAGCCTGTCTGGGTCTCCAGCAGCCCAGGAGGGCTCTGGCTAGTGGGGGTACTTGGACAACAGCGGCAGTAACAACAGTGTGGCTTGAAAATAAAAAGAACACCAGGCAGCTGACTATGGAGCTGACTGAGGATGTCCACAGAAGAGAGAGGAAACTTTCTAAGAGCAGGATGGGGAGGGGGTGTGAGGGTGGATGGGGAAGATTGAGTTTCAGAATGGGCAGAAAGCCGGCAACCCTCCTTTAAATACTGATATATTCTTCAGAATCCACTCTTGGTGTAAGCCCAGCCCTGATTCACATGGGACTTTTTTTTTTTTTCCTTCTCTTCCTTCTCCTCCTCCATCTTCATATTTGGGCTGGGAAACATTGTCAGTTGTAATCAGTTTAGGCAACAAATTACTTTTTATGGGGACCTAAGGAAGGAGGTCCCAGTTTATAGAACCCCTTATTTTTATAGATTCAATTTCTTCTATTACAAGAAGCCTTTGGAAGTTTTAGGACCAACGGAGTCTCCTAAACTTATATATAAAGACTGCTAAAGACTTGCCAAGCGGAGATAAAGCCATTATTCTCTTATTTGGCCATATAACTGCTTATCTGGTGATGAGTCTAAGGTGGGAAGCCCTATAACCTTTAGAGGGATTCTCCAGCCACTTAAGTTAACCCTGAGTAGTAACTTCTTTGGATGGAGACCACTGGCTTGAAAAAATATAGACAGTCATAAAAATCCTCCGACAGGATCCACCTTTCCTACTTATGCCTGTCTGTTGGCTACTGTCTGTGTTCCTTCATGTCTGTTGGCTTCTCCTTTTATGACAGAAGGTCGAAGGCACTTCCGTATTGTTTTTGGACAACACCATCAGGGTCTAGGACATGGAACATCACAAAGGGTCGGTCATGTACATGTAACATGACTTTTCACCATCTTTCAGGGGAAAGAATAGGCAGCCATCAACAGATAAAAGCAGCTGAAGCTCCTCCTCTCACAATTTTGGTTGTAGGACAGGCTAGAACGCCTTTGGAACCTCAGAAATAAAACAATACTGTCTCCCCTGGTCCTCTATGAGATTCGGGTGAGTGAGCCTGAGTGGGGGCTTTGTGGCTCTGAGATGAAGACTTGCAAGGAAGACCTCCTCGCCTCTTCCTGATGAGCTGTTGGACCCAGACTTTGCTGGTTAGGAAACTGAAAGATCACAGCACAAAGGGTTAAGGTGGAAGAAGTACAGGTGTTTATTATGAACCAGTATAAACCCTTTTATGCCTCTGACCAGGTAGGTAACAAAAAAAAAAAAAAAAAGAAATCATTGATCAAAGGACCTCCCGGGTTTTTTCATATTTCAAAAACACAGATAAATAGCTTACTATAGATAAATAGCTTCACCGTTTGGGTATTTCCCAGAAGCATCTGAAAATTTTCCAAGGAGTCTGTAGAAGGGGATGTGTAACCAGTACACCCCCATCCCCAACCCCACTAGAAAGAAATGCCCAGGGATTGGGCTGCTGGAAGGGCAGTATGGACTCATTCAAATTTCCTCCCAGGGGCCAATCCCTCTTAGCCCTGTAGGATGTCCTTAGCAGGTGGCTGTTCCCTGGCAGGTGGGGTGAAGGGGAAGGTTGAGGATCAGGAAGATGGACGTGTGGCTTTTGTTAGAAGCTGCCCATCACACCTCAGGGAGGTGAGATGCTTCTCGGTGGGGACTACAACAGTCCAATTCTTGCCATTTACTAACTGGGCCCTTATTTCAGAAAGCAATGCTGTTTTTATCAACTGGATCTGACTTTAAAAAATAAAACACAAAAAACTCCCAAAAAAGGAATAGAAAATTTTATGCTAAAAAAAAGATCCCCAATGAAACAATCAGTAGCACATTGCATCTGTGGTGTCCCAGCTCCCTGTAATGGTTGTGTCTCCAATGGTGGTTTATTTCCAAGGTCATAAAGTAGGCGTTACACCCCAATCTTCATATCCACATTCTGCAGGTTCCGTGTCTCGTCTGCCGTCACGAACTGGTCTGGAGTCTCTGACGACCCCTTGTTCACCAAATGCACCATCTCCTGAGACTTGCTAGCTTCTCCATTGAGTCCGCTGGGCTTTCTTTCCTCCATGGTTCCATTCCCGTTGTTGATCACCAGCTTTTTCTTCTGCCCACATCTAAGAATTGAAAAAAAATTGTAAGAGAAATGGGTACAATGATTCTGTCATCACTGTCACAGTTAATGCCACCATCACTATGGTTTATGATAATCTGAGTATATTTCATCCTACTGACTTTTAACAATTGGCACTTTTCAAAGCAAAGTCCTTGAACCAGTAGCCAAAACATCACTTGTAAACTTGTTAGAAATGCAAATGCTCAGGCCCACCTCAGACATCCTGAATTAGAAAACTCGAGGGGCGGAGACCAAGGTCTGGGATTTAGCAAACCCTCACAGGCTACCTGAAGTGACTCTGAGAATCAGTGGTCACAGCTATGGAAGTCAGGTCTCATTGTATCCCCTATCACAGCTAAAGAAATCTTGGGCTTGGAAAATTCCATCACTTGTCCCAGGTTATTCAACGAGTACTAAGAGAATTGGGATTCAAACCCTGGTGTGTCTGACTCCCAAGTTCTAACTCTCCTTCCAGCATATCATGTAAGGGAAATGTTTGCCTCTGTTAAACTCTGGCTGTTTCTGCAGGCTTAGATAAACCATCAACGGGATGACTGTAAATCATTCTGATTTGTGTATTCAAGAAAGTCCCATTACTTCCTCTCCCAGTCAACACTATGTTGGTGTTGTCAGGGTTATTATTGCAAATACCAAGAAGAATGAGGCAACACTTTTCTAGAAGTATAGTGTTAGGGTTAGTTACTCAGTCGTGTCCGACTCTGTACGACTCCATGAACTCTAACCCAACAGGCTCCTCTGTCCCTGGGATTCTCCAGGCAAGAATGCTGGAGTGGGTTGCCATTCCCTTCTCCGGGGGATCTTCCCAACCCAGGGATCGAACTCAGCATTGCAGTCAGATTCTTTACTATCTGAGCCACCAGGGAATATATAAGGCCACACTGATTTTTCCCTTATCCTTGGTTAATTGCCATGTAACCTTAGATATGGGAAGTTTAACTACATAAGGCAAGTTGTTCACTATTTAAGATTTCTCAATAACATTACTCAAATGCAGGTCCTCTATAGAAGAATATGACCTTGATCCTGTTGCTGGGTCAGGACATTGCCTTACCCCCACCCCAGCCTGAAGCAACGCTTCCTCTTTCCTGTAACATGATCACTGCCACACATCAAGAAGTCAGATGCTGCTTAAACAAAAGCAAAAGTGCAAACCAAGAAGTCAGATGTTGCTTAAACAAAAGCAAAGGTACAAATCCTCACAACTACAAGTGGAGTGGGAGTGAGGGGAAATGTGCATTTATTGGACACTTCGTGAATGTCAGGCACTTTACATGTAATTTCATGTAATCTTTACAATAATCTCACAAAGCAGTTGTTATTCCCATTATACAGCAATGGAAACTGAGGCTCAGGGAGGTTTAGTAACTAGCTTGAGGTCACACAGCCAGTAAGAGGGACAGAGTCAATATTCAAATGTAGGCTTTTATGACCAAAGTCCAGGGTCTGCCGCCCTTGCTTTATTCATGCTGCTAACCATCTGGAGATCTGGAACAAGTATGAAGTTGGAATTGTTCACTTTGCCGCTGGATATTTGCAGTTGTAGAGACAAAGCTTCTATTATTCATGATCATGGGCCATTCCCTCTGAACTGCCAAGGCCATAAACTTTAATCAGTTGTTTGGGGAAGTGGAAATTATACCTCCTGAATAGGAGGTTGATCCTGTATCCTCTGGCATGACTCTTGATGAGGGTAGGAGGAAGGACACTTGACCTCCACTGGTCCGTAGGGCTGGGCATATGGATGCAATCCAGAGACAAGAGCAGGTGCTTGGAAGGCCTGGTTTGAGGGCCTTACCACTGTGTGACCTCGGGCAACTCACTTAACTTCTCTGAGCCTCAGCTTTCTTACCTGTAACACCAGGCTGTTAAGAGTACCAGTGTCACAGGACTGTGGAAATCCCTTGAAGCAGAGGCTGGCACTGGATACATGAGTTTACCTTCATTTCATCTGTTGCTCTTCTGAACAATGTAGACTAAGGAAATCGAGGCCTGGGATAAGCACTTAGAACTGTATCCGAAACACAGTGAATGTTCAAGCAGCACTTGCTGTACTTGTTAGCATAACCAGAGCCATGAACGATGTTTGGTTTGTTTCTTCTGGCTACCTCCACTCCCCTTGTTATACTTACGATGAAGATGATGTAAAAGGCCAAAGGTGAGTGCTGCTTGTGTTTTTTTCAAATTACCAAGGGTTATCTCCCTTGTCTTTGCTTTTGCAGTTTTTTGTTTAAATGTAATTTTGCTGTAGTACAGTTGATTTACAACATTGTGTTAATTTCTGCTGTATAGCAAAGTGATTCAGTTATACATGTTCATACGTACTAAGTCACTTCAGGCCTGTCTGACTCTTCGATCCCATGGACTCCTTGGTCCGTGGGATTTTCCAGGCAAGGATACTGGAGTGGGTTGCCACGCCCTCCTCCAGGAGATCTTCCCGACCCAGAGACTGAACCTGCATCTCTTACGTCTACCTGCATTGGCAGGTGGATTCTTTACCACTAGCCCCACCTGGAAAACCCTCGGTTATACTCATACACCACCCTTACAGCAGAAAGTGAAGAACTAAAGAGCCTCTTGAAAGTGAAAAAGGAGAGTGAAAAAGTTGGCTTAAAGCTTAACATTCAGAAAACAAAGATCATGGTATCCGATCTATTGCTTCATGGCAAATAGATGCAGAACAGTGGCAGACTTTATTTTTTTGGGCTCCAAAATTACTGCAGATGGTGACTGCAGACTTGAAATTAAAAGATGCTTACTCCTTGGAAGAAAAGTTATGACCAACCTTGTGAAGTTGCTCAGTCAGTCGTGTCCGACTTTTTGTGACCCCAAGGACTGTAGGCTATCATGCTCCTCCGTCCATGGGATTTTCCAGGCAAGAGTACTGGAGTGGGTTGCCATTTCCTTCTCCAGAGGATCTTCCCAACCCAGGGAAGATGACCAACCTAGACAGCACATTAAAAAGCACAGACATTACTTTGCCAACAAAGGTCCATCTAGTTAAGGCCATGGTTTTTCCAGTAGTCATGTATGGATGTGAGAGTTGAACTGTAATCAAAGCTGAGGGCCAAAGAATTGATGCTTTTGAACTGTGGTGTTGGAGAAGACTCTTGAGAGTCCCTTGGACTGCAAGGAGATCCAACCAGTCCATCCTAAAGGAAATCAGCCCTGAATATTCATTGGAAGGACTGATGCTGAAGCTGAAACTCCAATACTTTGGCCACTTGATGCAAAGAACTGACTCATTTGAAAAGACCCTGATGCTGGGAAAGATTGAAGGTGGGAGAGAAGGGAACGAGATGGTTGGATGGCATCACCAACTCAATGGACATGAGTTTGAGTAAACCCTGGGAGTTGGTGATGAACAGGGAGGCCTGGGGTGCTACAGTCCATGGCGTTGCAGAGTCGGACACGACTGAGCGAATGAACTGAACTGAACAGATATACACACATATGTATATTCTTTTTCATGTTCTTTTCCATTATGGTTTATCACAGGATATTAAATATAGTTGCCTATGCTATAGAGTAGGATCTTGTTGTTTATCCATTTTATATATAATACGGGGTTGGCAAAAAAGTTTGTTTTTTCCCCATAACATCGTACAGAAAAACCTGAATGGCCTTTTTGGTCAACCCAATAGTTTGCATCAGATGGTCTTTGGACAAAAGGTATCTTATTAAAGTAATTTCCATTCATCCACCAAACGGGTAGTTGAGAAGTTGGTTGAAACAGTGGAGGAAAGTGATTTATAATCATAAAATAAATGTTTGTGCAAGGGGGCGAGATGGGGATTAACATTATTACCCTAAATGAAGCTGATTTTGAAAGTGGGTAACATTAGACCTGCAGGGCGGAGGAATGTTGTGCTTGGGTTTGGTCCTGCCCCCATTTCCCTCTGGATTTATGTGTCTCTGTTTTCTGTCTGAGTTTTTTCAGGAGGGCAGGGTGATGCTCATAAATAACTCAGCCCAACATTTGGCGCTCCGGGCAATTCATAAGTACTTTTAAAAACCAAGCTCTGATTTTTTTATTTCTTATTAGTTACAGGAATTTAAAAAGAAACATCAGAGCTGAAGGGACTTCAGAGGTGATCCAGCCTATCTCTTTTGAATCCAGGAAGTCAAGCATATCACCCAAAGCTACCCCGCCCGTTATAACAGGAACTACATAGTACTTACAACTTAGACTTTCTGACTCTAAAGGTCAGAGATCTTTACTGAACCACATCTTGCCTGTGTCTCCTTTCCCCTTCAACCTCAGGCATCAGCTGAGGATGCAAGTGACCTCACGATGAGGGAGCTGCCAGGCTGAAGCCTGGCCAGGAGTGGGTGGGCAGGCTGTGTGGGGTTTAGAAGCCAGGAAACATATTCTTTAGGGCATGGAGGAGTTTATCTCAAAAGTTAAGTGGTAAGGTAACTCAACAACTGGCCTTGGGACTTCCCTGGTAGTCCAGTGGTTGGGACTATGAGCTTCCAAAGCAGGGGTTGCAGGTTCAATCCTTGGTTGGGGAGCTAAGATCCTACATGTTGTTGTTTAGTCCTTCAGTTGTGTCCAACTCTTTGCGACCCTGTGGACTGTAGCCCCCCAGGCTCCTCTGTTCATGGGCTTTCCCAAGCAATAATACTGGAGTCAGTTGCCATTTCCAACTCCAGGGGATCTTCCCAACTCAGGAATCGAACCTGTGTTTTCAGCTTGGCAGGCAGATTCTTTACCACCAAGCCAACTGGGAAGCAAGATCCCACATGCCGTGGCCAAAAAATAAAAATAAATAAGTAATTCTATATGTAAACATGTGTATTGATATTAAGTTCATACTGATGTCGTCAGTTCTAATCCATTACCACAGGGATCATTCTGGCCTCCTCTCCTTCCTTAAAAACAATATCAATAGCAAAAAAAGAAAAAAAAAAAAACCCAGAAAACAAGACTGATCTTATGTCTCATCTATCTGAGAGTCCTGAAAGACATTTAGAGATCTATTTTGCAGTGTGTTGGAGCTTTGCCATTCCATCCAGTAGACACCAGCCATAGGATATAAACTAATTCAAATGAAATAAAATCAAAAATAGACTTCTTAAGTTGAACTAGCCACATTATGAGTGCTCAGCAGCCACAAGTAGTTAATGGTTGCATATGACCACAAGCGCAGAACACTTCTGTCAGTACAGAAAGCTCTCCCGGACAGCTCTGTTGTAGAGGGCAGAAGGAGTTTGGGTGAGCTGAGATTAGAGTGAACTAGGCTGGAGCTTAAAAGAAGGAAGTCATTTCTAAGTCATGGAGATTAACGGAGGGGACACCCCAGGCAGAGGGTACATGACTGCCCTCTGGGATGGAGAGGCAGGATGATTATTCCCATGACAGTGCAAGCGGGCAAAGGCCTCTTCTCCACAGTCGATGCAGAAACATTCCTTAATCATTGCTCTCCTGTGCAGCTTTCTCTCTCCTCTTCACACAAACCCAATAAATTAAGGAGAAAGGCGTCTAACTTCTTCTCTTCAGTCTCATCCAATATCTACCAATCCAACTGACTCCTAAAAGAGCTGTTGGCTCTAACAGAGAGTGAATAAAGTTCTGATTTCCACTGGAAAGGTGCAATTCAAGGACTCTGGTTATAAACAGAACAGCAGGAAAGGTAATAATGTGGGCTATGACAGGGATGGGGAAGGCGAGAGAAATTACAGGACCCCAAATCGGCATCTTTAAGACGATGGAACTCACAGATCACTTCATGGAAGCCCATGTTTAATTCTCCAACCTCAACTTCAGTAGTTAATGATTTTCCACTTCTATCTTTTAATCGTAATTCACATAACAAGGCCTGGCCCAGAGTATGTTGGCAATAAACAATAGCTGACTCAAAGTGAACAGGCCAATACTGCCACAAAACCTCAAGATTCTTGCAGAGAAGGCATGGTACCCTTTTTGTTTTCATCTCTTCCTCCTCTGTAGTGCTGACAGTCACAGCTGCCCCTCAAAAGACATTTGCTGAGTAAGTGAATACCTGGTATAGGCCTCTTATCTTCAAACAAACTTTCTTTGATGAAAATAGGATTCTGTATCCCTCTAGAATGCCACGCTCCAAGTAGAAAGGCCTCTGCCTTTTGAGAGGATTAGAAATGGGCTAGTGGCTTTAGAATCATAGTGTACATCCCAGGGCCTCTGTAGCCGTTAATCAGTCTTTAGCTCTGTGGCAAATCTGTTTTCAATTATCAAATCAGGACATGGTTATTCAGAGCATCCGAGCAGCTACTTTCCCAGTGAGACGCTCACTCTACGGGATCCTGTGTGTCCCTGTTTGCCAGTTGCCAGGATGACCAGTGGTATTGGGAGGAAGGGGTGGGGAAACAAGGGGGCCTGCTTATGCTGCTGATATGATGGGAAGTGAAACTACTCGGGGGACAGCTGAGATGCTTCTCCGAGTTCTCCCCCACGTTGAGAGCATCTGAGGCCAATGTTTCTACTTGTGGGCTACTGTATATGTGAGCAGAAGTGGTACATTTTAGGGCCTGGAATAAAAGGACTGATTTCCAACAATAGGAAATTCATATTTAATTGAGCAAAAGTCATCTATGAAAAAAACACAGAGGCCGAAGGAAAGTATAAAGGCTCTTTGTAAGGGCTCCCTAAGACATATTATTTAAATTCAACTAAAAAAATGTCTTTCCATTTAGTCATGGGAGAGTTTTAGGAGGTCTTTCAGATTTCTTTTCCTGATTTTTGTTCCTTATGAAATTGGCTAAATTTTTTTGTTTGTTTTACAGATAGCAGCACATCTATTTGACTTTAAAAGCACTTTCATTAACTTGTATGAATGTAAAATGACATTATTTGATTTCCTCCAAAAAGGAAGATACTGCATGAGCCATACATGGCAATGGAATTTAGCTGTTCCTTGGCTTTCCAAAAGACAACAAGAAAGATTCTAGAATTTTTCCCAGGTCTTTTCCCAAATGTAGGGGCATTTTCTGACCTGTTTGATGATCTAATGATACAACAGATATGGCCCCACTTAGAAATAAGATTATTTTTGATTTATAAGAAGAAACCTCAAGGGACATTTACAAAAAGTTTGATGTTCCTCTGCATTTTCTTGGAAAAAAATCGTGCATCTTTAGAGGATCTTGAAATTTAGAGCTATATTTCTGGAGTACTCCTGTGAAAGCTCATTTCCTCTGATGCTAGAATTACTGTTTTCCTTTGCTTCATATTAAAGGTAGCATTATTTCTAAAGGCTGGTCACAGGTGAATCAGGTATATGCAGATATATCACTACAAAACAATAGGCCTTGGTTGAGGGAGGGAGAGAAAAGATGTCTGACGATATGAAAACAACCCACGTGCCAGTTCTAGAGAGGTGACTGTCTTGTTTCAGACTTTCCATGGAAAATTCTTCATTGTCTCCTATACCTCGGTCTTAGGGAACTCTTCCTAGGCCATAACCTGAATCCTTTTGATGACAGCTTTCAGAAAGCAGAAAATAGTGTCATTACAAAAAAGTAAAATAAAATCACAAACCCAATGCCTGCTTTAGGTAAGGGTTCTAGGTTTCTAAGGACCTCAGACAGGCTAAAGGGCCAATCCTTGAATCTCTATACAGTATTATTGTTCACTGTGAAGACACTTGATAAATATTTGTTCAGTGAATCAAAGTGAAAGTGTTAGCCGCTGAGTCCTGTTTGACTCTTTGTGACCAGATGGATTGTAACCCACCAGACTCCTCTATCCACGGGATTTTCCCAGCAAGAATATTGGAGTGAGTTGCCATGCCCTCCTCCAGGGGATCTTCCTGACCCAGGGATTGAACCTGGGTCTCCGGCATTACAGGCAGACTTTTTCACCATCTCAGCCACCAGGGAAGCCCAAGGAATCAATGAATGAGTATACTATTTCATGTCTTCCTGGTGAGATATTGCACAACTTTCATCACATACCCCAAAATTAAGACCCACAAAAGACCCATTTAAAAGCAGATATCCAAAGAATCACAGTCTCCCTTCTCTAAAGAATATACCAGGGCAGAGCTTCTTAAACTGTACTGTACACGTGAGTCCCTGGGGTCTTTATCAAAACACAGACTCTGATACGGGGGGTGGGGTAGGGCTTGAGATGTAGCATTTCTGACAAGCTTTCAGGGTGCAGAGGCTGCTGGTTGCAGGAGCTACACTCTGCGTAGCAAGGACATATTGCCTATGGCTTTGTTTTTTTTAATTGACGTATAGCTGACTCACAATATTCTATTAGTCTCAGATATACAACATAGTAATTCAACATTTCTACAGATTATACTCCATATAAAGTTAATACAAAATATTGGCTATATTCCCTGTGTTGTGCAACATATCCTTGTAGCTTGTATTTTATACTTCGTAGTTTTACAGCCTAAGTTTAAATGATGCCCTTTCAAAGTTAAGGCCCCGAGGAGCATCGCCTTACCTTCTCCTACTGTTGACAGCGATGCAAACTGCGAGAATCAAAGCCAAGGCCAGGAGAGATGCCAAGATGATCAGCCATTCTGGTGGGAAGCCAAAGACACGCATGAGCTTGGGGAATGCACTTTATAAATTAACCTGGTCCAAACAAGAGCTACAGTCAGCTCTACACATGGGGCCAACCAAAGGTCTAGCCAATAGCCAGCTAATAGTGGAAGAACCATTTTGCTATAGGTCTTTGTCTAACAGGACTGTTTATCATACCTTATGACCAGTCAAGATTTCCAAGTTCCCCCAGGAGAAACACATTTCCAAAAACCTGTAGATGCCTTTGGTGTGCTATCATTAAATAAATTAAAAGAATGTTCCTTACAAGTATCATTCCTTTTCTATATGAGAGCATTTGCATTAAATTTTATTAAGGAACAAAAATGGAGATCATATACCTGTGGGTGGCAGAAATGACATCCCTGTGGAGAGGTCAGGAGGGTCATTTGGCAAAATTTGTCAAAATCCTTCAAACTGTGCAGCCTTTGATCCATTTGTTATACTTCTAGGAATATAGGGCCTCAGACTTGGCTATAAAGATGTTTCTTACTGTGCTATTTGTAATAGTAGAAGTTGGAAACCATCTACTATCCAACAATAAGGGATTGGTTAAATGAATTAGGGTCCATCATTGTATTGTGTACTAAGATACAGGGGAAGAATATGTAATGACATTGGAAAGCTGTGACCAGCCAGTCGGGAATGAGTTTACTAAACAATGTGTCAATTACATGTTTGTATAGAAGTCAGACAGAAAAATAACAGAAAGGATACACATGAAAATGGTTACCATGGTACTCTGGATGGTGAAGTAGATAACAAAGGAATTATATTTTTATCCTTTTGTTCAGCAGTATTTTTTAAAATGCCTCCAATAATTAGTGTATCACTTGTAAACCAATAAAATGTTGCACACATGTTTTTAAAACCAAGCTGTAGTAGGATTAAAATATAACTTGACAATCTGAATAAATTCAATAGCAAAGTAGATTGTATATCAATGCAATGAACTGAAGCTGAAGGAACAAGAAAGATGGGAAGTCATTCACTGGCTATTCTTCTTTGAGAATCTTCATTTTCCTCTGATATCCCGCTCGGTACTGCCTCAGCCTGACCCTTCCCTGGCTAGATGAGTTTGGGGAGGGAGGTTGAGTCAGGAGATGTGGAGGCTGACAGGAAGGTGTCATTTCTGTTCTTTCCCCATGGGTCTAGCCCTAAGATGCTCCACACTCACTCTCACTAGAGCTGGGAAAAATTCTGCTGCCTGATTATAGCAACTGCATCCCACCCACCCCCTTAGTCCACTCCCCCGCCTCCACATGCTCTGCTCAGGTAAGCTGAGGCAAGGGGCCACGGGCCACACCACGCTCTTCCCCAGGGAAACCTTCCTTCACTGTAATCCCACTTTATAAATGTCCAGTTTGGAGCCTAAGTCAAAGAAAGAATTTGCCTCAAATGCCTTAAATCTTGATGCTCAAGGGAGCCAGGTGGTCCAGCCCTCTCACCATATTCTGAAACTTTCTTCTCTCTCCATCAGTAAAGATTGTCCCTAGAGAAAAAGAAGTTTGGGGACCAGAAGAAAATTTTCACTCCACCCAACACACATGACTCTTGTATTTCCCCATCATCTGCAACGTGAGGAGAAAGTTACACATCCACCCTCAAACCCGGAAATATAGAGGGAACTGGCCTGAAGTTCCTATCCCCTGGGATAGGAAGATCACTCACTTGGGGAGGGAGCTTTAGTAACTAACAAGGCACTTCTTTGGGACAGACCAGGGACAGGTCCAAACATGAGCTCAGCCAATCTATGGGACCAAAGAAGAAGGAAACGTTTCATTCTTCCTCAAGAGGCTGTGGTACTGCCATTCACCCTTCAGCTCACCAAGGGGAGCCATCAAGTTCAAGGGTAGACGTGTAGGAGAATGTGCTTTCCAACTGGTCTCTTCTTCCCTCTGTGACATTCGGAGAGACCTGCTTTCAGCCTTTTTTTCCTTCACAGCTCAAAACTCACCTGGAATTTGAGGTTTCCGCACAGGACCTGAGGTTGTGTTTGCCCCATGTTCTTCACTCCCACTTGAGTGTCCTAAGGAGAAAAAACAACACCTCTCAACAAAGTCTAGAGCGTGTAACCAGGAGTTTCTCATAGAGCAACACAGAAGGCCAAACTCTACATGCTACATCACTGCAAAGCTATAGATCCAAGCCACAGACATCCATTATGTGTTGTATGAAAGACACATCTCTCCAGAAAAGCTCAGAAATGTCATTTTTCATCAAGAGTATGAGAATTCTCAGCAGTAGTACTATGCAGTGTTCAGGATAGCCCTGGATTCAAGTCCTACCTCTGTCTCTCACCAGTAATATCTGCTGGGACAAGTCATCCCTCGCCAGGTATGTTTTCTCACTCATAAGATGGGGATAATAATAGAATCTGCTTCATCATCATTTTACAGAGGTTTAAAGACATGAACAAGAATGGTAATTGTGTGCAGTTAACTGTAATAGTGAAGAACCTTTGTTTCTATTACCAGCTAATCATTAAAGAAATCCTATTTATAAGCTTAAATTATGCATAGTGGCCCATCTCTGGGAACCCTGCCTTCCAGGGAATGAGCATTAAGTTAAAATATCTTGGTCTAGTTCATAGGAAGCATCCTGACAAGCCCCACCTGTGAATGACTGTAGGAAGGAAGATATTAACAAGCCTGATGGAAACCAGGGAAAGTTTTAATTTCACTTCTGTCCCTGTTAGTATAAAAGAAGCCTGAATTCTAACTCAAGCAAGATGGTTCTTTGGGACACCAGTCCACCATCTTTTCTGCTGGATTTTGGAATAAAGTCACTAATCCTTGCTCCAACAACTCATCTCTTGATTTACTGGCCTGTTGTACAGCAAGCAGTACAATCTTGCACTCGGTAACATTACAATTCTCTATTTTTAATTTAAGACCTTGCTACCCTAGACCAGCAACATCACCGTGGGAGCTAGCTGGTAATACACAGCCTCAGGTTTCATCCCAAACCTCAGAATATTCATTTTAACAAGATCCTCAGGGGATTCAAATGCTTTGGGTAGTTCAAAGCAATCTAAAACTTATGTCCAACATCTTCAAGTCATAAACATTAAGAAAAAAAAAAAGGATTCAAGGTAGGGTCGGGTGGGCAATGTCCCTTTCTCTTTATGAAATATCACCCTAAGGAAAGCGCCTGCTAATATGTCTATATTCCCAAAACACACACTTCTGAGAAGACAACATTCTCTGCTGCTACAAAACCAAATAAGGAGACAAAGAATCAAAACTGGAAAGAAGCAGGAAGAATCACAAGAGAAAGAATTCAGAAGTCAGAATGGGAGGTTCATCACAATGAGGGAGGAATCATCTTTTAAATGAAACTTCAAAGACATTTTGTGAAGAGACTCACCCAAATGAAAGCTTTGGGATGTGTGTGTGTGTGTATGCGCGCGCATGTGGGGGGTGTGTGTGTTTGTGTTGTGCTTCCTGCACTGTTTCAAAACAAAATGTGAAAAATTCCCCCTAAAATGAACTCTTTTCCCCTACCCAATGGGAACCCACTGCAGAATCCTGCAGGGTTCCCAGGGAAGAAAAAAACCCAGGAAGTCTGTTTGGCTAATCAGTGAATGAAGATGTTGTCGTTGTCCATCAGTTGCTCAATGGTGTCCGACTCTTTGTGACCCCATGAAGATGGGCAGAACTTAAATAGCCCTTTCTCAAATTTCTGACTGTGCATGGTGAACTCTGAAATTTTGATGACTGTGGTTATTTTGAGTAGAATGGCTCCTATTTACGCAATTCAATGTACTAGTTAAACTCAAAACGGAGCAAAACAAATTCTACTGGACATCTGGCTGTTTCAGCAGGCCGTTTTGACAGTGTCTTCTATCAATCGGAAGGAATCCAAGGGGCTTGCTCTAGCTGCCTCCCAGAGGCCTTGGTCATCATTGGCAGGTGTTAGCCTGAACAGGTCAAGGGATACTAGCTGTCTAAACTAGAGATCTTTGCCTGGAAAACTACCTAAGAGGTACAACCACTCACACTGGTCTGTCTCTGACTCACAGAAGCCTTTGATATTTGAACGGGAGGCCATCAGTGGGTCATCATCTCTTTATTTTGATTTTCATAAAAAGTGCTCCAGGCAAGGAAAGATCTGGGTGTGTGTACAACCAGATGAAACCTTCCATTTGAACAATACACACCTCAGGAAGCAAACATAAGAGACTAACCCCCGCCCACCTGATTCTCACTTCAAGAAAGAGCTGGAGAAGACGAATGAGACCCAGCAGGCCTGGTCTTGCACCCTAGAGCTCTGTGAATCCAGCCGGGGTAGGGCTGGTTGGGGAAGTAAGTTCTGCAAAGAGGGATGCTTGACAGTGCAGTTGGGAGGTGAGATCCAATCTGAGACACGTGCACAGGTGGCTCGCACTGTGAGGAAAAAGTCTAAACAGTGCTTCTCAAACTTTAAAGTACATACAAACTGCATAGTGGGGGCAGGGCAGGGTAGGCCTGGATAAAATGCAGTTCTTGATTCAGTGGTCTGGGGAGTCTGCATTTCCAGCCAGCTCTTAGGTGATATCCCTGCCACTGGTCCAGGGACCATGCTTGGAGTGGCTGAAATCACTTGATTTTAAAAAGCACTTCCCCCTCCAAATGAAATAAAAAACTAAACAGCACCTCCTTAAAGTAACAGCTCCATTTAATTTTCAAAACACTTTCATATTTTTAATGCAGCATGCTCTTCACAAGAGCTCTAGGAGGTAAGAGAGGCCTGTGTCTTGATCTCCTTTTTCACTAATAAATTGAAACTGGAAAAGGTTAAATGTTCTAGCCAAGGCCACCAGAGAGCCTGGGACTTCTGTCTTTATTTTAGAAGCATTTCTACTGGGCCCCTACATCCCTGTGCTGTTTACAGGATAAGTTATTTCTGAAGCCACCATGTAAATATCCATTTCCATATTTGCTTTAAGTGTGTGAACCTTAAAGCTTGGAGGCAACCCAACTCCCAGCTGGGAAGGAAGGGAAGGACAATAGTTCATATGGGGCTACTTGGCCGGCATGGGGTCACCTGGGCTGGCAATAATCAGGGAGACCACAGTGAGACAGCCCTGGCAGAACCTTTCAGGAGCCCCAGCATCAGTGATCACAAGTCAACCTGCCTCATGGCAGACTTTTGCTGGCTGGAGTGATATTTCTAGAGGCATGATCATTACAGTAATTATGGCACTAATGACGGTCACTACAGGGAATCTCTCCAGATCATGCTTCTGAGAGGCAACACAAGATCCTTGGGCTTGAAACCTGCCTCCACCATTCAGCTCTACCAAGTCAACTCAGCCATGTTGATTAGCTTCTCTGAGTCTTAGTTTCCTCATTTGTAATACTGAGATAATATAATTACTGATATAATTAAATGAGAACATAAAAGATGAAATATAGGAAATCACCAATAACTGACTGTTGATCTACAGAAATGGCAGTTTCAGATAGCCCAACCTAACACGTGTAAAGTATTCAGAAAGACACGACCAGCACACAGTAAATTCTCAGTAAAGGCTAGTTATTATGCCATGTGTGGCGGGCAGGGGAATTATGCTAAAGACTTTACATATCATTTCGTCTTTAAAACAACGTGTGCATGTGTGTGCGTGCTCAGTCACTTCTGACTCTTTGTGACCCCATGGACTGTATCCATGGGATTTTCCTGGCAAAAATACTGGAGTGGATTGCCATTTTCTCCTCCAGGGGATCTTCCTGACCCAGGGATTGAACCTTAGTATCCTGTGTCTCCAGCATTGCAGGCAGATTTTTTACCCACTGAGCCACTGGGAATGCCCCTTTAAAACAATGCCCTGTGACAATTTATTATCATCCCAATTTTTTTGGTTAGGAAATCAAACCTCAGATCCTTTAAACAAGGTCCCTTGATGGCATGCGAAGGAGCTGGAATCAAACCCAGGCCATTCTTTCTTTAAAATCTATGTTCTTAATCACTCTGGTAAAATGCAGTGCTAAACTGAGCGACTGCTTGAATTCTTTCTGATTTTTTTCAGATGGAAGAATTTTCTCAAAAGCAGTCATCCTCAAAGTGGAGTCTGTGTCTGAGCAGGATCAGCATCACCAGAGAAATTACTAGAAATACAAATGCTCAGGCTTCATTGCACTCCTACTGAAGCAGAAACGTTTAAGGATGGGGCCCAGCAGTGTAGTTTAATAAGTTCTCCCCGCGATTGTGACGCATGCAAACAATGTGTGAGAACCACTTTTGGGGACACAGGACTCATACATCATTAATAATTAGCAGGTTCCATGACGGTAACAGTAAGTGACTAAAAGCAGCTCAAACTCACCAGCTGATTCAGACGCATGAGTTGTATAGGACCTCCCACTGGGGTCGCGGGATGAGCCGTAGTCTCCTGTAAGGAGCAACAGAGGGAGGTTCAAATCCATGTGTTCACTTACATTACTGTCTGGGCTTCCTCACCTGTGCATTTTCATACAGCCCCTAGCAAAGTCTTTTTAAGGTAACCAAAAATAATGGCAAAGGAGTTCTGAATGGGTCCATGATATGAATTATTGTTCACTGCTTCATCCACTGATGAGTGGGTTACAGCTTCAAGCAAAATCTTAAAAACTGGGACAGCACAGACGAGTAAGGATGACCATAAGAAGTGTGGCTTCAGGAGAAAGCCCCAAATTGTAACTACCAAAAATACTGTGATGTCTTGGCAAGTCTGAGGTTGGGATTTGATACTGTGTCTTTGACATAACGATTATGTGCTTTGAATTATGATAGATGTGATCATTGGGAATGCATGTACTCTGTGGCTTAGGGCAGGGGACATTTAAAGAGATTTCTCTCCACCCGATCCCTCTGGGTCAATGTATGGCAAAAACCACTACAATATTGTAAAGTAATTAGCCTCCAACTAATAAAAATAAATGGAAAAAAAAAGATTTCTCTGAGGTAGGAAATTGAGAAATGTTTTGTTTGTTCAGTAAAGTATCTTGGGGTTGAATCAGTAAGGATTCAAAGAGAAAAGTCAATTCAATTTAGAGAAAATTAAGTCTGAAAATAAGTGAAAAAGAAATGGGAAGTTAACTAATATGTGGCTAAGGTTTACCTGGTTATTAGAATATATTTCAAATCATATTTTCCAAAAAAAACTTAAATCTGTATTTTCAACACCAAGAATTAATATAACCCCATCTTTTCAAACATCCATCACCAGAAGGCTTTACATTGAAACAAGCTCATGAATTGCTAAAATTTGGATCCACAGGTCAAATCTCAGGTTCAGCATATGGAAACTCTGGTTCCTCCCCCTCCTCCCACACACTTCCTAAAATTATAATGGAATCTTGAAGCAAAACAAAACAGGTTCATAAAATGGCTATGGTCATCCATTATGAAAGATTCCTCTAAGGAATACACAGTAATCTGATCTTCACAATGTCCTTATTTAGAGATGGAGATAGGCGACCTTTAATCGCTTACACAATTGTATGGAGGAGATAGATTGCTTTGTTCCTTGGCTGATGGTTAGAAAAGTTGAAAACAGCATCTGCTGAAATGCTGACACCAAAGCACTCAACATCACCACCACCATCACCACCGTCACCATCTTTCTCACCACCACCATCACCACCCAAGACCACAACCACTACAATTGAGGATGTTTTCATTCTTAAAATTAAGGAAAAAGACAGAGAAAAAAATATATGGGAAGAAATTAGCCTTAACTGAGTATTCTGGAAGAAAATCAAGGATGATAGATCACTTAATCCATGGAGAACTATGGAAAATCCGTCTGTACCACTGCAGAATGCAGAAGGGATCAGGGTATGTAATTATCGATTTTGTAGAAAGCATTTTATTTACTAACAAATAAGCTATGTAATCCTTTGAGGCTACTGTGACTATTAAAACTGCCATTTAAATTCACTCAGTTGCATAAAGGGGGCCTTATTTTGCCAAAAGAAACCAGGCAGGGCTCTAAAATTCTTTTCTCCAGAAGAATACCGACACGGCTACTTGGGCTTTTTAATAACTGAGGGCAGAGCTATGCTGAATAAAGAACCACCAGGTGTAAAGGGGCCTTGTTGTGCCAAAACTGTTGAGGCCAAGATTTTTTAAACTGTTTCCCTTGAAGCCCTGAGATGGGCAGCCCAAGCATGTGGGCTCTAGGATAGAGGCCAAGCACATGGCATTCTGTCCCACAACAGTCACAGCATCACACCTGTCATCTGTTTTATATTCTCAGTTCTCATGAGACTTACTCTTTATCTGAGGGGGCATGGGGTAGGAAAAGACATGTGCTACTACATATATATATATGTTTAAAATAATGGATCTTTAATATTCCTTAATGGTTGAATAGTAAGAACACTTAAATATCTGGTACCAGGAAGAAAGAGTTCAATTTTAGTTTCTCAGCCAGGGTAAGTATTTTGCAGTTCCCTTTTCTTCAATATTAGTTTCTTAATGCAAACTGAGAAACAAAAGTAGAAGTGGGAAGGATGGCTAGGTCCATGTGTAACTTAATTGAATAAGTCATGTTCAATCAACTCTTTTCTCTCACACAAGAAAGGGTCAGTTCAGTTCAGTTCAGTCGCTCAGTCATGTCTGACTCTTTGCGACCCCATGATCCACAGCACGCCAGGCCTCCCTATCTGAGAAAGGGTAGCTAGTCATAATGTAGATTAAATCATAAAGGTTTAAGTGCACACCCTAATCAGAAGAGGTATCCATAAGCCCTTCACCAAAAATAAAATTCACCAATCTATCACCAATAAAAGAATAATTTCAGAGCAAAGACATTAGTATAGGGAAATTATTCACAAGTTGGGTAAAACCTTAAATAAGCAGCATATATTAGCTGAATCAAATGAAACTGATACTTGACCACTTTTACTTACAAAAATGTCGATTTCATATGGTTCAACTAAATATATCACAAGGTCAGGAATAAGACAAAGAAAGAAATTCTACCATAACAACCAAGTCACAAAAAATAAATGGAAATTACACAGGTAAATCAAAGTATTATTCATCTAAAGTAAATCTACTGCATTAGAATGATGACCTGTGATGAAAGCCATTTCCATGACACAAATCAATCTAATTACAGTCTACACAGAGAAGACGTTCTTTACTATATGAAAGTATGTGTTGTTTCTTCCTATAGAGAAAGCAAACCAGATATCAAATGCCCAAATTACCTGGTAAAGTAAGATCAGCCTTAGAGGTGGAATCTCCAACAACAGTAACTTCAGTAACTCCAGGGGACCCAGTCCTAGTAGGGGTCACTGGGGTGAGGGTTGTATATTCATTTGTGTCTGGAGAATGAGTGTAACCTTCCACTGAAGTAGTTGCATCTTCAGGAAGATTTCCACCTCTTCTGCCATCATTCCTATCTGTGTGGAGGTGGAATCAATGGTAAACCCACATTTGTAAGACCACCACCCAAAACATGCTTGTCTTCAGCATGTGTAATTGCTGCAAAAACTTTCCACTTGTTATTTGTGAGCATGGAGCAAAAGATGGTGCAGTCTGTCACCCTATTGAACAGAATCAATATTTTGCAGTCAATACCATCTGGACATCATTCAGTGGAAGAGAGTGGCGATCCTAATATCTAGAAGAGACGTTCATTGCAATATCTGCCTGGGTTATTCAAATACGGTTTATGCCTCTAGAATTGTTACCTTGAAACGGGTACTACATAATCTTGAGTTCTTAGTCAATTGAACCCACCACTGATGAAGAGGAAAAAACGTGTTACTGAATTGAAAGGTAAAATTAGGCTGTGCAATTGGAATAGCAAATGCAAAGTTTCAAAGATGTGAGGCTTTTCTTATTCTTTCCTTTCCTTGCACTGCTTCTTGCTCACCTGCACCAAGGATTTGTGGTCCAGAGGATAAATGGAAAAATATTATTATTATTGCAAGGAAAATAGAGAGTGCTATAGTTCAGATTTTTCCACCCAATCACACACCAGCAATTTGCTACTCTTAAACAAACTCACTAACTCTAGGATTTAAGAAACCCAAACTTGAAGATTAAGAAAATAAAGATTGCATTTAATATACAATGGCTTCTAAGAGATCTACAAAGCAGAAAAGACAAAGAACCGTCACCAGCCACACCTTCTGATCAGGAGTAACAGCATGACAACTGCCAACTGATGCACCTCCACCAAAGACACTGCAAAAACACCCATGCCTTATTGATCTTTTTTCAATAGCTGAAGCCACGTGGGCTTTCCAGTCCTTACTGATAGATGTTGGAGCAGCAGTCGTTGAGTGGTCTTTGTCTTCTTCTAAGCCGCCATGTGATGGAGAGAGGCTGTGAGTATCACTCTGTTCTGTTTCAATGAGGGATGAGTCCAGTATTAATTTGGGGCCATGAGACAAATCCTCTGTTATCTGCTGACAGGGAGGATCTGATACAGTCAGGTGGGTAGGTACATAGGAATACCAAGGTGCTTGCATGCCATTCTCCTCTGATCGAAAGAAATGCACAACAGAATTCTGCTTTGCCCCTTAACTGGCTTTGTTTTTCTGTATAATAAACAAGGTGAAGTGCCAAGATGAAATCTAAGCCAACACTGTGTCCACCCGGGATCATCCTGGCCCAATTATAGCATTGCTTCCTGTCATTCAGGAAAAGCCAGAAAACAGAGACAAAGAGAAAGGAATGCTTGAGTCCCCGTGCTCCTATCACCCACCAAGAGCAACTTTACTTTGTGTCAAAGAAGTGTGACTGTAGGGAAAATAAACAAAAGCAGAGCAGGTAGTATACCTGTAACCACAAAAGATGAAGAAGTTCATCTAGAATAACCTGCTCAAGTAACTCAGATCAAATTTACACAAGGAAACACTTAAGTCACTATTGTACTCCATGATTAGCTTTTTGATCTCATTTGTGGATGAGGATTCTCATCAATGCACTGGAAGGTCAGGAAACGCTTGTCTGGGCAAATACAGGGCCCTCACTGATACATATCAATTTCTGGTTGAACCATTGCCCATGTCTGAAACGGTTTTCATTGTTTTGAGTTAATTTATTTTGTGTTCTTCTAAGAAAGGGACTGACCTCTGAGTTACAGGAGCAAGCACACCATAAAGCGTACCACTAAACCATGTCCAGTAAATATAACCAGGAGAAAGACAGTCAACAAATCCCAAACCCAACAACAGAACAAAAGTCAACAGTGACATAAAGTAGGACTATAAGACCCTTCATTGGCAGGGACCATTTTTAGGCTTATCTGCATCTCCTTTGATGCCTGGCTGCTGGGTTATTTACATTCTTGACAATGAACACGTGCTTGCTGATTTTTCCTTTTGCCCGAGAGGGCTCACATGAAAAGACTCTGCCCAGTATGTCTAGCAAGCAGTGAAATGAGGCCCTCGTAATTCTGGATTTCTTTACTATTCTGTCAAGAAATTATGAATGACTTTATGTTGATCTCTGGGCTAGCCCTGCACCTATAGTGGATGTTAAGGCAACTAGAAGTTTAGCATTGTTTCTGCCAGATGTTTAGTGATAGGAAGAGATACGAGCAAATGTCCTTCTTTTGTTCCCAAGGCCCTACCACCAATGTCAATTGTCAAAAAATTGTCTTGATCCTCTTCTATGGGCTAATGTGATTCCCCTACTCTTTGTGATTATCTAGCCCCCAAACATCTTTTTACAACCACTGGAAAATGCTACCCCTCTTCTGCCTTGATTGAAAGATGGGACTCAAAAGGAACTGGTCAGTTAAAACAGAGAGATACCGCTACCCTAGCTGTGATCTTCAATTTCACTAACATAACTACTCAGAGCAGGAAAATCAAGTGGAATAGAGTCCCACATCCTTTTCCTTTTTAACATAAAGTTATTGACCTTGGAAAGCACCACAAATGAAGGTATAATCAGATTTAAAGAACCACCCAGAAAATAAAGACAAGGAGGACAGATTTGATATTCTGAGTTGAGCTGAACCACACAGCACTGGATGAGCTACACCACCACCAAGCCCTGCATCAGGGCCAAGGAGAGCAAGAGCTGAAGCAAGAATACAGGTCAAGAGGCTGAGTGTCTTTATCCTTACGAGTTGTCATTGAGAGAGGTCCTGTCCTGTCCAAGTGTCCCACCAAACTCGTGTTTGGGTCTGCAGAAGCCTGAAGCGTTGTACTAGGGCTGGTGTCTGTATCTGAAGGAATTAAATCAGTGTTACTGCTTGATTTTCTAACTGCTATCTGAAGGTAATTTCTGGTCTAGAGATAAACAATTCTTATATTCAAACCTGCATGAGAGGAAAGAAAGCACATACTGATTCATGTTTCCAGAACTGAAATAAATGATCATTTCTCCAAAAGGGCCTCCCAAGAAGTAACTGGCTTTCACTTAAAGGCTGAGTTGTATGAAAGCTACAATCTTTGTTGTTTTTTGCTGAGTCTGGAAGGATGGTAAATGAGTACATGATGGGCCTCCTAAGCCTTGCAGAGAGACAGAAATATAACCCACGTGTGACTTGTCCTGTTCTATATAAATGATCTATGCGTGTGTGCATGCTCAGTTGCTTCAGTCTTGTGCAACCCTATGGACTGTAGCCTATCAGGCTCCTCTGTCCATGGGATTCTCCAGGCAAGAATACTGGAGTGGGTTGCCATGCCCTCCTCCAGGGGATCTTCCCGACCCAGGGATCAAACCCGCCTCTCTTCTGTCTACTGAATTGGCAGGTGCATTGTTTACTGCTGAGACATGAGGTAAGCCAGTGATCTGACATGTGGATAAAAGACAAAGTGCACTGGTTCAGGCACCATTTTGTCACATCCTCTTGACTTGGCAAAAAAAAAAAATGTTGTTACAGTCCTCTTCCCTCATTTTCTCCTCTTTTGCTTCATGAACTGAAAGTACAAATGAAATCATCATCCCATACTATCTAGATGGAGTCCATGGGGATTTCTAGGGCAAAGAATAAGAAGCATTGGATATCAATGAATCCTTCTTCCCATACACACACATAGGAGATGTCCTTGGAATGTAACGTGTATAATGTTGAACTACACAAAAATTTCACTGAAATATTTATAGAAGCTGTTTCTAATAACTATCACAAATCAATTCTACTGAAATAACAAGTCCCGAGTGAAATAGAGGCCACACAAGCCATCAACACCATCACTATTGCCGATTCTTGGAGTCAAAGTCCACCCACCCTGCTGCCTCTGGAGAGATTTAAGCTGTTCCAAGTGACTCCAGAGGGGAACACTGGAATATTAGGGACCCACATCTACACTGTAGCCTTTCCATTGCATGTCAGGGTCTTTACAGAACAAAATGTGGCTGACTCTACTGTTTTAAAATAATAGTAGCAGTAAAAAAAAAAAAATAATAGTAGGATTATTAATTGCTAAAAAAGAGGAAAGTCTGGCTAATCCAAATCAAAACCCCAAATAGATATCCTCCCAGAGAAAGTCCAGCCTGCTGGTGGTTCTAGACACTCTTGTTCATCTTTCCTTCCATAAGTAGAATCCTTTAAGAGGTGTGACACCATTCTATGGTTGAAGCCAATTGTAACGGTCTTGACATCATCAATCTGATGAAAACCCTTTCTGTTCATCAATATGAAGACAGTATTGATTCTGAAGCTCTTTTACTGGCTTGGTTTTCCACAATGGGTACCATCAGAGCCTCCAGCCACCTCCAGCCATGTGCATAAAATGCGTGCTTGGGTCTACAAGCGGCACTTCAGCCGCACAACATAACGGCCCCAATCTCACCATTCACACTCATCTTACTTTGTGATTTATGGATCCACTCACTCTGCCAAATTCATTCCTTGGCTTTGTTTCCTTTAAATCTCTCCTTACATGTGTTTCTTTCCTTAAAAAAAAAAAAAAAAAAATTCCCCTACTTCCTTTCTCTGACTAACCAGATTTTTTTTTTCCCATTTTTCAAAAACCAGATCCAACCTACCTTTCTCTGAGGTTCTCCAAGGGATCCTCAGAATTTCTTTTGTGTTTATTGCTAGCAATGTTCATTTGACATCTATTACTTACTCTCTCATACTACTAGATCTATTTTGAAGCTGTTTTCCTAGCTAACTTTTAAGTTCCTTAAGAGTATGCATGTATTGCTAAGTTGCTTCAGTCATATCTGATTCTTTGCGACCCTATGGATTGTAGCCTACCAGACTCTTCTGTCCATGGGATTCTCCAGGTAAGAATACAAAGTGGGTTGCCATTTCCTCCTTCAGAGGATCTTTCTGACCCAGGGATAAAACTCGCATCTCTTGTATCTCTTGCATTGGCAAGTGGGATCTTAACCACTAGCGCCACCTAGGAAGCTCTACCTTAAGAGTATGGACCATGAATTACCTGCACATGGTGTGTCTCCATAATGCACTGAACATAAAGTACAATTACATTAGCAGATATTTAATATAGTTATACTTTAAGGGATACATGATCACTAATATCTGGGTACAACATAGTTAGGATGTTCTGGAGAAATGAGACCACAGAAATTATTGGATTCATTTTGGAGATAACTTTGCTTAACTCAATACTGAGAGACACTATATGGCATTCTGAGAACTCACTTCAGTAAGTCTTGTGCAGTGCATACCCTTGGGAGTTTGGACCCAAAAAAGATATGTGAAACTATGACTGAAAATTCATATCACAATATTTGTTCTCTTGGTTGATCTCCCTTTGTGGAATGTTACATGTCTGTGATGAAGACATCTTGTTAAATTTTTAAAAATTAATAAAATTTCATAATTCTATTCATGGATTTAGTATGGAACATGGATTCTTCTCCTTAGTAAACACTGGGAAAACCGGGGCACCACTTGCTATCAATTCTTACAGATTCCCTCAGGAAAGTTGTCATCTGATTGTGCTAAAGGAAACATTTCTTTTAAATTTAAAATTTTATCAAATACAATAATAATCTTCCACTGTTGCAGAGCTCCAGCTAGCCTTTACTCACTCTCTCTTGTTTAATTCTGTTTTTGAATTGCATATCGGTAAATTGCTGTTTACTCACTAAGTCGAGTCCTACTCACCACGACCCCCATGGACTGTAGCCCACCAGGTTCCTCTGCCCAAGGGATTTTCCAGCCAAGAGTACTGGAGTGGGTTGCCATTTCCTTCTCCAATAGGTAAACAGGAATGTTAATTAAGAAAACAATGATTCCATCCTGTATAAAAGCTGTCCATGCTTTAAATTCACAAATATTTATGGAGGACCGAGGGTGGTGCAAATCCTAAGTCACTGAGTATAGTGTATTTTATTTCTAAATTTCCAAGAGTAATTCACACAATTTTCTGGAGTCTTTTAGTTACTTATTTGGGACTTTTGACCTCTAGCATTTCTCTACCAAAGACAAGTTTTATTGTGGGACTATAGTGGAAATAGTCACTGGATCTATCACTTCATTCTTTTCAAAACCCTGCACTTGGAAGTAAATGGAAAAGAAATCTTGAGACTGCTCCTCTTCAGAGAAAATGACTTCCATTCCCATCATTTTAGGACTAATCCTTCTTTACTCTCCTGCCAAATTCTCCACTCTTGCCCAGGACTTCAGATTCAGATGTATATGCATATCAGTCTTACTAAGAAAACTAATTTTGGAAGAAACAAAGTTCTTCAGGAAAGCAGACTGGTCTAAAGTCAAAGTTATACTTCTAGGAAAATAGCCATTTGGTGGCTTTCTAAAACATAATATATAAAAGAGCTCAGAGATTATTACCCATCCTTCCTTTTGTTTGATGACCTCGCCCCATTGGATGCGAGACTGGGTCGAAGAAATAAGTCCAGGAACTGTCCTCTTGGCTCTGCGTTGTCACTCTTTGATGTGGATGGCTGACATGCGTTGAGGCTGTTGTGACTATGCAGTTTAAGCAATTATCAAAGTGTTAGTTGACATCTGGCCAGGGATACACTGATTTTTTTTTAAAGACTATATTCTCTACTCAAGACAACGAAACCATCTTCTGGGTCTAGAGGGACGGGAAGTTGAGTAAATGCAGAATGTTTTAGCAGGTACAGTTTCATTCATGCTCATTTTCCCTAGCAATCAGCATGTGAAGTAGAGGATGCAAAGGCATCAGTTAATAACTTCTCTAGTGGGTAGATGAGAAGTTATAGATAAAGTAAAAGATGGAAGAGAAATAGTTCTTCACCTACACCATGTTGCCACCATCCCTGGAAGGAGGAAGTGCAGGAGTCCAAACATGAGATCATTCCTAGACAACCACATCCCGGTGAAATGCATGTGAGGCCAGTAGTGATGCAGAGAAGGAGTCAGGTAACAGCTTCCCCACTCTCCAGATAGACAGGAAAGTCAATGCCATTCATCTCAAAAGCATGAATGGACTCCATTAGAAGCATTACCACCAACAATGAGATTTATGGCGCAAGTGACGTAAGAATGCAGCACGTGCTTTGGCTTCATTCTGAGCCAATGAAGACGCAGAGGTAGAAAAGATGACAATAGTGGCCCGTTGGCAACAACCACACCATATAGCCAGTCACTGAATCCACCACTCTGCCAGCTATGAATTCAGAAGCTGCCACACACCGGAAGAAAATCATGCGTTATATCCTATATTGCAAATGAAACCACAGGAATATTTCTCACTGCTATCAAGTAAGGATATGGAATTCACATTCTTTTACAAGATAGGATGCATTTCAAGGCTTCTGTCACACATGCATAAGAGCTGGTAGAGTGAAGTTATCCGGCAACGCTTAAGAAATGACAAGAGATAACAAGATTTGACTCCAATCTCCCCAATTCCACAGTTCAAGTATACAGGTGGTTTTTTTCTTTTTAATTTAAGAAGAAACAATTATATATTCAAGAAGAAATCTCCAAATAAACATGACAAAAGGCCAAATGACACCAGACAGGTGTTTGTCTCAAAATGTCTGGCTCCATTTCTTCAACTACTGAGGTTTTTCTGACCAAATGCCTTCTAACAAGTCCAGTATTCTATAGAACTGTGTTATAAAGCCTGGACCCACATCTTAGAGAAGATTCCCTTACAAAAGAAAAGGTAGTATTTTACACGATCAGAGTCTCTTCTACAGCCTACCCAAGGGATGCCCACATTAGATCCGAAAGCGACACACGCAAGGACATATTCTCTGTGTCTCTTTCTGCGCCTGTATCCACTTCTGTTCAGGGGATTTATTATGAGCACTTCAGGGTTGGCTCCGTGTTGACTGCCTGGTCATTGATTAAGGGACTGTAACATCTTGTGACAATTCCTTCCAATTCTTGTTCACTGTCCTCAATGCCTGGAATTTAACACCCAAGTCTGCCTGCGAAACCGTGCATTACCAGCTGTCCCTGCTGTTGAGTAAGAGTCTTCTTTTGGCGTTTGGGGATATTCCCCAGGCCTTCCATTCTCAAACCACTGCTCTTTCTGGGTAGCTGTTTCTTCCGCTGTGCTAGTAGTGGGTGCCTGGGCTGTGAGAAGAATGTCAATGGTGAGTTGTGATTGTTCAATTACTTTCCTTACCGACACATAGCTCTCTACCTTAAACACATATACAGGTGGGACAGGAGGCAGAAAGGGACAGCAAGAAAGAGAGAGACCACTGGAAACTCTAAAAGGGATATTAGAAATCAGATGGCCTTTAGTCTTTAGTCTAAATCCTTTATCACGTGAGAAAACTGGGGCCCAAAGAAGTTGTGATTTGCTCAAAATCACATAGCCAGATCGGCACAAAGTTATAACTAGATCACAGTCTATGAATTCCTAGTACTCTTCTTATTTTACTAGGGTTTATGGCCTCACATACCCTGTCTGAAAGAACTGTTCATTCAAAAAAATTAACCTCTTGTCTTCAGTGATTTGAGGGGGAGGAGTATATTATATAATAATCTATGATGAGATCAGCCTAGTAGGAAGCCTTCTCAAATAGTGGTCACATGACTCAACATCTCACACACTGGAAATGTACCAGCAGTGCATTTGCCCAGCATGAAAGATGCTGGGAATGGTTGAGATGCTATTCCACTGACATACTACGAGGTTACATCTATGGAGCATCTAAAATTGTCAAAATCATGTTTTAACAAATTTAATTCAGTGGAAGAAAACTCTTCTAGCCAATGTTTGACATTATGTAAAACCTTTCTAACCAGTGTTTGGCATTATAAAAGTGTGTAACAGGCTTAAAATTTCAAGCACTCAATGTTGTAATTATCTAGTTTTAAAAAGGACAAAATGAATGAAATAAAATTGTATCAGGGTGCCTTTGGGAAGAATCAGAAAGTCATTGACATTTTCATCCACTGTGACTAACCCTGAAGTTCTGTTCATCAAGAAAATCAGAGTTAAATACTGTACATCAACTATACCTCAATAAAAAAAAGAAAAAGAGACTGTATAAATTTGCCAAGCTGAAGTACAGTTTGCAACTTGTAAAACTAGTTTATTTCATTATTTTAGAAAATAACGTGTGTGACTTGACAACACCAAAGACATTTAAAAAAATAAAACTTACTGCCCTCATTTTACCCTTGCATTGGCCAAAACGTTCCTGAAGTTAACTGGTTATCCAGAGGGAGGGGAAAAAAATAAAAATCTTAAGTTTTACCTCCCCCTGATTAAATCACTAACTCCTGACAAAAAATGAAGTTAGAAACAACACTGGATATAATTACCAAAAAAACAAAAAAAAAAAAAAAAGAAATTTAATCCAAATATAAACTGCTTAAAGTCAAAAAGAAAAGAAAAAGAAAAAAATGCACACACTATTCTATAGTCTTTCTACCACTATCTTTATAAACACAATGATCCTTTAAATAGTCAGTAACCCTCTGTTGTCTTCAATAAATGGGTTAGCAGACTATAGGATTTCCATTGCAAATACAAAAATTGACTCTCTTCTAGAAGCTGCAGATGTTTTTTTGATAAAGCCTAGAAATCGCCAGCCAGAATCACTTGATGTTTTGCAAGTCCCCATAAAAGAATCGCTGAAGCAGCTGCCACTGTTAGGTTTTGTTATGTCCTGTTTTTCAGCTACCCTTCAGTAATCATGCCCCTGCCCCACTACTTTTTGACAATAGGCTCATTAATTCCCAGCCTCTTATATAATGTTTTCTGCTTTTTAGGTACAAACTGTCTTAATAATTTCTAAAATAAACTATTAGGACCCAAAGGGACTGGTACAGAATCCCGTTCTGAAGAAATTTCTGTTTCTTATTTCTGTTTTATTTCTCTTATTTCTGTTTCTTATTTCATTAGACTCTTTTTGTTGACTCAGCCCATAATTCTCATGCGTATATCAAATCTACTGTGGTCAATAATGAGATGAAGGCCTGTTGGGCGTATTCAGTACAATGCTCTGTGCTGTGTTTAGTAGCTTCCAACTCTTGGCGACCCCATGGACCATAGCCCACCAGGTCCTCTGTCCATGGGGATTCTCCAGGCAAGAATATTGGAGTACTGGAGTGGGTTGCCATTTCCTTCTTCAGGGAATCTTTCCAACTCAGGAATCAAACCCAGGTCTCCCGCATTGTGGGTAGATTCTTTATTGTCTGAGCTACTGGGGAAGGTCACAATGCTCAGGATGTAGTGATCTATTCAGTCCTAGCTGATGTGTGAAAGTTTCTTTTGTTGTCTGAAGACATTTTCAAACCATGGATTCCCAAACTCCTTTGGCTTTTAGTGATTGTTTCTTATATTTTTTGCTTTTGGAGTGTTCAAGGCTATAAGAACCATGGTTGAACCATAATTTCTATAATGCTATGAGCTGTTATCCTAAATTAAAGCTTCTTTTATACCAAATATCATAGACATCTCTGAGAGAAAGACAAAAAAAGAAGAGAATACACTTACTTCTTTTTTTGTCCTATCCTCATAGGCCCGTAGAAAGACTTGAAATTGCTTTAGGAAACCTGAGATGTTTGCACATAAGTAAAAATAACAGCATCAAAGCCTTCCCCCAAATTACCCTGAGTTTAAAAACAGAAAAAGAACAGTCAAGGAATTCAAATATAGTCCATCTAAGTGACTGTCTTTCCTCCTAAGAGTACAAGGGAGGTATTTCTACAATGGGATGAGAAACAGAATGTGAAAAAGAAGCTGGATTTATCAAAGATCTTTACAGAAAACAGAGTTCCAAAGATCCTTGCATTTGTCACATTTTCTTTCCACATGCCACGACTAAGCACCAAAAGAATACACTCTCCTTCAGACATTTCCGTAAAAACACACAAACTACCCAAATGGAACCTCTGGGAATCTTTAACACAAAAAAAACATATCTTAGATATTTTTAAACATTTTGGCCTTTCGGGCAACTTGACAAGTTAGTATTTTTAATTCCAATTTCTAAGAAACCGTGTGCAGATTTGGCAGCTTTTTATGTTCTGGGAATAAAAGAAATTACTGTGTGGAGACAGAAGACGTAGCCAACGTCTTTTCCCTACCCTCTGGGATGACTTCACTACTCAACTAAACCAGAACTGCTGACTGACATTCTTACTTGTGCTTGTAGAGTGCGGGGTCTCCTCTTCATCATGATACCCTTGGTGACTGAGAGAAGAGTGTGGTTCCTGGGTCCAGCCTTCTCCATAAGCACTGGTGCTACTTCTGTCCACATCTGTCACGATGATGGTTATATACATTGTGACTTTTTATCAACTGGTTTTTGATGGTTCTGTTTTTTCTTTTTTCTGTTCATCAAAGTACATGCCATCTAATGGTTCAATGCCTAAGTAGTACCTCTGAGCATCAACTCTTAATACTTCTGCGTGACTTCACTAATCTCTCCCAAGAGAAAACCAATGTGCACAGAATGTCTTCATGATTACCTATTGTGCCACTATGACCACTTTGTCAAGGGCAGCACCATAAACCATTTTAACATGTTCAATTTTATAATGAAGCAACGTAAAATATCTTATGCCCAGATGATATAATTGACAAATGACTCAAGCTGGAGTATCCTCATGAAAGTTCACTAAGAATTTGTGATGAGATAGTAACTAAATTTTCCCGCTGTGTCCTGATGATTGACATTTGCAGCACCAAAGACTTTGAGGGGAAAAAGAAATCTTTTAAGTATGTGTAACCCATTACCAGTCATCCTTGTGGTTGTCTGAAGTGATGCTTCTGGATTCGCATGGTCGGGGTTCCTTTGGATCCAATTCTGGTTCTGTTGTGGGTGGGTAAAAACCCATGGTGTGGTTGAAACTGTGACAATGATGATTCAAGTAGTTAGGAGAACGTTATTTCTTGAGCCTTCACCATTTGTTTTGTACATTTCTCCCTTCTGCAGTCTACAGAGTCATTCATCTATACCAGGCTGTATAGATGGTTGAGTAGAAATGAAGGGACAACAAAGAGTGACTTCAGCTTGACTCAGCCATACTGTTAAGTATCTCAGTGTCCTTCGCATTCTGTTAGAGAACACATGGAGGTCAGAACATGAGATCTTCTGGAGAAAGCAGCCAAAGAAGCTGCAGCGGGAGGAAGGACAGCTTTGAAAACACCAGCCCTCCACCGAGGAGAACCAAAAATATCAACGCTTTGCGCATCCATGCAGTCTGTAACAACCCTCTGCCCTTGAAAGGAATCTCTAACACTGACAGGTGTGCTTACATGTAGATGCTTGAAGGTTATGCCACGATGACCACTTTACTTCATTAGTAGCATTAGGGGGAAAGAAACACCCTGAGCAGCCAGAGCTTTCCTACTGATGATTCAAAGGGAGAATATCTACGTAGAACAGCCATGTGATGAGCTATGTATTTCTGAATATTTATCAAACACCTCAGAAATTCTCATCAAATACAGAGCATTTCATGAGCAAGCCATTCATAGCCAATGAAAAGAAAACCAAGATGCGTACATTCAGTAGGAAAAACCAGAGGTAACCAACCACCATTGCAGCAGCTCCCCTAAAATTAAAAGAAGCAGACATCCACCACCGCCCTGATATTGTCACCCCCAAACATGACAGGGCTGGAAGAAGAGATGCACATGACCGAAGAATCATGACAAAATCAGAATCAACATCTTTTGGAAAGGTTATTTGCAAATCCATCCTAACTCTTTTGAACTTTATTTTGATACCCAAATAATACAAAACTCTTTTCAGAATGATAATACTACTGGATTCTATTTTACAAGTTAATAAAATCAGGTAAACTCATTAACTATAGTCTCATTTAGTATGAAAAACTGGCAGTTATCATACCCCAATAGAAGGAAGTGGGCATCCTGCTCAAATAAGTGCATGGGTGCCAAGAAGAAAACTGAGCTGAAATGGAAAAATATGCCGTAGAGATGAAACGATATGAAGGGGCGTTTTCCCCCTGGAGCCTGAGCACACAATTTATTTTCAGGTTGATCTGTTTGGCTTGCCATTCAAGAGGGTTTAGTTTCTCAAGTATCAAGACCACATCTTTCTCGATGCCCAACCTAGAAGATATGGTTATATCCTGAACCCAACAGACAGTATAATAGTAAAGCTCCAGTGTTTTGAGGGTATTTGGTTTTCTTTCTGAAGTTACTAAAGAGAGCTCCCTTGTTAGTTTCTAAGCTCTGCAGGGGTGTCCAGCTAAGGAATACAGCTTTGACATAAAGCATATAGTTCACCTCAAGTATTTGTTGTACTGATGTCACATACTCAAATGCCTTCAGGTCTAAGCTATTCTTTTGGACCCCTTCCTCCTGGGATGCTATACTTTTGGGGATGAAGCTCCCAGGTTCAAATAGGACAGACTGGACTTTGGTGACCTGAGAGAGCTCATTTAGCACCCCAAAGGTACATCTTCTCTTTAAAAAAAAAAGGCAGAGCTGTGATGGAGTCAGTTTCAGGAATCTCATCTCATTCAGCAATATCTTAGCTCATGAACAGGTAAGTATAGGAAACTCAGTTATCTGGCAGAGTATTAGACCAATTTTTGATTTTTTAAAGGAACTTTCAGCTCAATTTCTATCTCTATTCTCAAAAAAGTTTTATAACTGTCACAAACTTGGATACTATGATGCAATGGCTTCACTATTTGTCTTTAATAATTGGCACTGTTATGTTACAGCTCAGCTTTAACATATAAATACACAAAACAGGAAGGATTTACATGAGGAATTAAGAATTTTATAAAAGATTTTCCCCATGTCTCCTCCAAGGATATTTTGGCTTTCATTAAAAAAAAAATCAGTTTCTTCCTTCATAATCTCATCAAGGCATAATTAACTAACCTGTGATCACAGGCTTATGCTCATTTCTCATATTAACTATTTCCCAAGAAAGATGCTATTGGGCATCACTCAGATTAAGCGATAAGCCTGGCACAGATGGTTTCATAGGAATTGATTATTCTTACTGGTGCTGGAGATAAAATCTTCATCATCATCAATGCCTGATCCAGAATAACTGGGGTGTCTGTCTCTTTCATCTTCATTTTCTTCAGTTGGCTCCCAGCCTGCTGAGATGATACTTGAATCCGTACCTGTTGTGGTGACTTGCGTTAGTAGCTGAGCTGAATGCCAAGTGACCCATTTCACAAAGGAAGAAAAACAGGCACAGAATGTATATAGAATTCCCAAGATTATAAGAAAGAAGTGAGAGATTTGACTTCTATACTCCAAATTGTTACATTCTGGTCTCAAGCTAATGTATAGATCTAAAGACAACTGGGTACGATCTTTACAACGGAATATTCTTTTCAAGGAAGTTAAAAGAATAAATATAGACATAACCTCACCAAAGAAGTAAAAGAGCAAAAGGCCGATAAACTCCCCCATGCTTTCAGATGCATTTATTATTAAGCATACGCCATGAAAGCTAGGCTGTTAAGAATACAATAAAAGTTTCACACGTGCCTATTTGTTTTGTTAAGCCACCTTCAGTAATACCTTGGAATCTAAACCCAAGTCAATCATTTCTAAAAATCCCTCAATTGTATTCACAATTTGCTATTCATCCAGCTATTAGCTTTGATCTTCTCTAGCATTTGATTACTGTAACTCTGAACGCAAATGAAAGCTACACTGCAGTTCTCAACATTATTTTAGCTTACAACCAGAAAACTGATGAGAAGCCTTCACTCTGCAACCAAAAGTAGCCCCCACTTGCTGCAACTAGAGAAAGCCTGTGTGAAACAAGGAAGACTCAGTGCAGCTAAGTAGATAAATACATAAATAAAAATAAAAAGGTGATAATCGGAACTATCCACCAATGAGCTTTTACATAAAGTATTATATCCCTCACCATCAGAAAGGTCATTTTTCAGAGAAATTGTGTATAAGATTAGACGATTAGAAATGGTGACTGAACAAGACATTGATCCTTTCCACATATGACGCTGATGCTGGGAAAGACCGGGGCAGAAGGAGAGGAGGGTGTCAGAGGATGAGATGGCTGGATGGTAGCACCAGTGCGATGGACATGAAATGGGGCAAACTCTGGGAGATGGTGAGGGACAGGGGGACCTGGTGTGCTGCAGTCCATGGGCTCGCAGAGTCAGACACGACTGGGCAACTGAGCAACAACCACATGTAACAGTCCATGATTCTGAAATCCAGCTCTTCAGAGTTCCAGTCCTTCACCTTCTACCCTCTATTTTGGTCAACCAGTATCATCCTCTAAGAATTCAGGGTGTGATACGTCTGCCCACAGTCTCAGAGACATGGCCCCAACAATACCAGACACCTGGCGGAAGGACAGCTGAGGCGAAAGCCTGAAAGAGATGCCATTCCACTTTTCTCCAGTCAGAGTCCAAATTCCCAAACGGCGTTGCCCATGGTTGCTTGTACATCAATGCCAGATTTTGCAAAGCAGACCTGAACATTTTGAGACTCAGTTTCTGAAAATAGAATAATCAATCAGGAAAGACAAACTGAAGTGACCCAGTGATCTCACTAACAAGACTAGAAGCCAGAGTCTTGATTGGAAACTTCCAAAGACTGCCATTTCTGTAGCCATGATGTGTGTCAGAAGAATAGTAGAAAATAGTGCTACGTGCTAAGTCACTTCAGTAGTGTCCAACTCTTTGCGACCCTGTGGACTGTAACACACCAAGCTCCTCTCTCCATGGGATTTCCCAGGCAAGAATATTGAACTGGGTTGCCATTTCCTTCCCCAGGGGATCTTCCCGACCCAGAGGTGGAACCCACATCTCTTAAGTCTCCAGCAATGGCAGGCAAGCTCTTTACCACTAGTGCCAGAAAATAGTATATACAAAAATTGAGAAAAGTTCAAGCAGAGAGGCTGAAACCATCATTAAATCCCCAAATACAAAAAGTAAGGCGAATTAGATTTCTTTTTTCTAGCTACCAAGAAAGCCCAGAAGTGGCCCGAAGAGAAGTACTGACAAGACCTTTCCCTTCACAACATTTGTCTGATGAAGATAAACCTTGTAAAAATTTTAAAAATACCATTTAAAAAATTCTTCAGTCAATCTCTCCCCCACCCTGCCAACATTATCTAATCACTACATAATATCAGTACTATTTTCCTTATAGGAATATTTGTCAAAATAAAAAATACAGTTTATTTTGTCTTATAAGCTAAGCAAATATAAAGGATCTTTTTTAATAACTATTCTTCTGAATTAAAAAAGTTCTAATTATTTTGAAATATGGTCATATCCTCCATCAATGAAAGTTAGTAAATGAAGATATGCTAACAATATCCCATTGTTACAGACTTGGAATCTTTTCCCACAAAAACTCTTATGTCAAAACACTTTATAGCTGCTTAGAATGAATAGTCAAACATCCAGGGAGCTTGTCAGAAGCCTAGATTTTGACATCAAGCACAGGTTACTTCCTACATTTTACAGTTAAGGTAGCACATGTCCAAACAATTGTCCACGGCTTACACTTTCCATCTGTAAATCAGTATTTTCCTCTGTTATTATTATTGGCTGTGTTAATTAGATCAGCGGAAACTAGGAGTATGCGTTTTCTAATAGACTTCTTTAAGAGGACGTGTTCTGAATGAATCTCTTAATTAAAGATCTGAGGGAAAAATAATTCTGATTCTAGGTGCATGTTGCCAGTAGGAAAACAAGCAAGATGTTGAGTAGAATCTAGTCATGTCCCCAGATTCACTGGCCTCTCTATTAAGTGAAATGGTGCCAGATTCTGTTCTCCCTAAGGATGGTGATACAGCATCAATAGGAAATTTTGACATGATAATGGGGTCCTTTCCCTTAATACTGAAAGGCTTGGCATTCAAGACAACAGAGAAGCAAGAGACATAACAGTTTACCTGTCACTGCTGTTGTCTGATCCTGAGTCTCAGGCTGTGAATTACCAAACCAAGACCACATCCAATTATATAGCTCCTAAGCTGCTGCATGGCGGTGTGAGTGCAAAGTTGAACAAACCAGATCAATTATGAAAACATCATTTATTTGGGGTCTTTCCAGAAAAACTTTACTCCCAGTCCTATCTATATAAAATGTATGCATATATTATAGAATGAAGATTAGAGAAGATTGAGGCCTGATTTTATCTTTCCAGGCTCCCCAAATCTCTTAGAATCTTAGGACAACATCAGAAATGCAAATTCAGTATGCTTATCCATACAGTGTTACTCATTCTTCAAGCTAAGTCCCCTGAGTACAGGCTCAGAACAAGAAATCAAGTAGCAACTTAATAACCCGTGATGGAAAAGAGATTTTATACCTACTTGATTAGGTGACCCAGCCATGAGCTAGAAGCCTTCTATGTCGCATTTCATAAAGTTGCTTTCATTCACTTATTTTTGGAGTATCTTTAGAGGTGCTTGCTTGTATCGTTTGGATCTTTCTGTCATTTTACCTGAGGAAGCTTGTAATGACATCTAGCATTTCCAAGTTCCGCCCACATTCATTAATCTCAAGTTTTATACTTGAGCAGGAACTTTGCAAAAGGTGTGTATTCCAAGTGTTGAAATCAGATAAAGATTTCTCAAGAACCTATCTATCACTTTCTGTCACTTTTAATTCTCATACAGAATGTGTTTTCAGAAAGGAAACAAAAACTTCCCAAGTTAGAGAAATTCTGGATTCTATTCAAATTAGAGGAAGGATAATTGCCATTTTGCAATTTTGAAATCTCCCACTTGATTCTCAAGTTGGACTTGAGTCCAGACTGTTTCCCTGAAGAATGGCAAAAATCATCAGGATAAACCTCTAAGCCAGTTGAGATTTTTAAAAACCATTTTGAGTCATATGCCTCTTTGAAAATCTAATATAAGTTACGGCTGCTCTCCTCAAAAAAGGGAGACTATACATACATGTTTTCAAAGTTTTGCATAATTTTTTCTGGTGGCTCTTGAATACCTTACGGCTTATCATTGAGCCTACTGGAAGCCCATGAACTCTAGGTTAAAAGCTTTAAGTCCATACACATTCAATGTCAACTCCTTACACAATATGTTCTGTGCTACAAAGGACACATATGCATAAAAGGGACTAGACAGATAGGAGCCAATTTCATGCTGGATGCCCCAGCTAAACCTGGGCATCCTCCTGGAAAACCTGCAGATAACCCATTCTTACCTCGGAAACTTTATTAAAGATATAGAACTCTGGCCACCCTCTCCCTCTAGTACATCCGGTAGAAACCAACAGGAAGTAAACATACAAGAGCAGGACAGAAATAGGCATTATTTCTGTCTTCCGAAAACGAGGTGTATGAGAGTTGGAGAAACTGTAAACAGCTCTCGCCTAGCCAGCAGAGTTCTCTCTTTTTTTTTTCCCCTCAGAGTTTTCAATCTTACCGACACCAGTAGACCATGCTAGACCAAAAATAATTATTACATATTATTATACATATAATAAATATACATGTATATGTAATTATACCCAGAAGACAAGGAGATAAGAGTGCTCCAAGGCAAGAGTCTGCTTCTTGAATTAGTTTAAGTTCTGGATTCCAAACAATTTCAGATCACCAACAGCAAAAAGGCTGACGACATACCTCCAGGAAGGCGCTTCCAAAAACAACATTTATAAGAAAAGGCTTGCTGGAAGTCAAACACTTCCCAGATGGTCATTCTCACTGGCTCTCCCTATTGCCACCCACCAAGGACCCTTTAGGATGGACTCAACCACACAAGCCAAAGATGCACTTCTCGGTGCTCAGCCAGTCCTCCTCTTGACCTCTGCCCTCCTGCATCCATTAGGGAGGTTTTGTTATCACTCCCTCTTGCTAAGTCCCAACTCTCGGTCCAATAGCTATGAGGCTTTGGGATTCTTCTCACTCGGCTTGGAAAATATGGTCTGTTCAGGAACTTATCAGTGCTAATGTTCGCAAGTCTGCCACTCGAACTGGATATATTCAAGTCTCCACCTGCTGGTTTTCCTTGACACCTTTCTTCGTGTGAGCCGACTTATGCCATTGCCATATTGGATCCTAAACACTCTCGTGACTCTCAGGCTGGCTCTGGACTTGCTCCGCTAGGCATATAAGTCTCCTACACTACTGAAACTTAGCTAAGTGATCTGGAAAGAGAAAAGCACAATTCTTTTCTCAACCTAAATGCTACACTATGTTTTAGTTAAGTAAACAATACTTAACCAAATCATTCTCTTGATTTCTGTATAGGATACAGGCTCCATGAAGGGAGGTCCACCTCTGAGTCCCCAGTAACAAGAGCAATGTCTGGCTCAGAGAAGACCTCAAATACTGGCTAAATGAAAGACGAGGTTACTAATCCTTACTTTTCCTCAATATTACCTTCTAATGGTGTTTACCACTGGGTCTCAAGCATTAGAATAACTTGATACATAGTAGGTCTTCAAAAATATGCTTGCTGACTAAGGCAGGAAAGCTATGGTCCTTCAAGGATGTGCCATGAATGTTTATAAAATGTCCTCATTGCCTTTCCTGAAGCACATGTGAAATACTATTTTCTATAGGCTATTAGCAGCTTACATGTAGTTTCATCTGGTTCCCACAAGATACATTTTGTCTGGATTTTCTTCTTTGAAGGGAAATGGTACTTTAAGACTGCCTTGATCTGTTTCCTGCTGAGACCACTAATTGTTGCTTTTGCTAAAACTGCCTTCCCTGAACACCTTCTAAGTGGTTACTTTAGAAAAGGCAGAGAACTGGGGAAGGAGCAAGTAACTAGCAGCCCCAGCTGCTTGGTTTGCAGAAGCCTCTCTCCAGAAGGGTTGTCCAAACCTGGAGGGATAGGGTGGGGATGGAGTAGGAGGCGGATTCAGGATGGAGGGGACATGTGATATACTTACGGCCGATTCATGTTGATGTATGGCAAAAGACATCACAATATTGTAAGGTAATTATCCTCCAATTAAAACAAATTAATTTTTAAAAAAGGATTGTTCACAGGATTACAGACAATACTGCAACACAGTCTCCAGAGATCCAATAACCTAGGAAGTCATAGGAAATTTGAAAATATCTGCCGTTTGAAATGCTTCAAAGAATCTGTGGAGAATGACTGGATCCCAGCTTTATCTGTGCCCCTCCCTCGGCAAGCTGCTAACAGAAACTTAAAACACCATCAAGAAAGTGACCTTACGTTAAATCACAGTGCTCTGACAAACCGCCCTGGCTTCTGATGAATAGAAAAGGGCCCCGTCTTGAGCACTGGCAAACCAGGACATTTCTGCCAGCCTCTCTGGAGACCAGAGTTCCACCGCCCAAGAGGCACAGCCAGGAGAAGAGAAGATCCACACCATACTAGGAAAACTGCTCAAGAGGCAGAAGGCCTGTTTGAGTGTGAATAATCCACAGAAGGAACGCAGCCAATCTGGAAACCTGTTTTAAAACAAACTGTAGGGGAAAAAGCAAGGAAGGAAGCAGAGACGACCAGAGGAAGATGTAAACACTTTCCAATGAAAGTGGAATGCCGGGGCCAAACCCCAAAGAAACTGAATGCAGAGCTTACATGGCTGCACTCCAGCAGTTCCCAACGAAGTGAGTTACCCACATAGCCAAGCAAGTATGAAGAGCCTTCCCCAACCGGCTGGGATATAAAACTCATAGGTAGATTTAATTTGATCAGATAACTCCTTCAGATACACTCCCTTAGGCCAAAAACAGAGGAATTGTTTAGTAAATCATGAGTTAAGAGTATGACTAATTATTACCCAATTAACAATATGAATATAAATCAAGTTAAAACCTAAACGTATAAAATGAACCTGAAAAAAAAAGTAGCAGATGAAATGGTATGCATATTTTATGATCCCGACTTTATGGAAACAATTTTATCCATAAATGGGTAAGAACAAGAAGGGAATGTGCCAAAATGAAACTACCTTGTGTTATCAGATCTCAACTGTCACCATTTCTCTGGGACAAGAGAACAAGGGACATTCTTCTGAAAAATTTCCAGTACGGTACTTCTTAGAGATGGGGGAAAAAAAAACAATTTTTTTTTTGTAAGCAGTAGCAGTCAATGATATAGCATACTGACAGCTGCAGGAGGCCACTTCCCCAAATCAGGTCACCACCTTCTAGAGACAGACGCCATCCACACAAGTTCATGTCCCTCAGATAGACCAGAGACATCCCTGTGAACGCATTCTCCTTACTGGTATCCGACGTATTCTCTGGCTTGCTGGAGACCCAGGGGCCGTCTTGGTCTGGGGGCGGGTACGCGGTCGGGAGGTGCGTGTGGAAGATGCTGTAGTCTCCTGGAGTGCTTCTCTCACTGGGGGAGCCACTGCTCATCTCATCATCTGGGGGGCTGCTGGGGCTAACGGCGCTGGGGTTGATGTCCTCGGGGTTAGTTCTGTATTCGCCTTTCTTGGTGTAACGGGTGCCATCACGGTTTACAATAGCTGGAGGACAGAGGAGCCACTTTCAGAACCTGACAGCTGATATATTCTGACTATAGGAAAGACGGTGGCTTATCTTATAAGATAGTGACTTCAGAGCTATTTTTCTTTTTTTTTTATTAAGCAAAACAGCAGCTAACTACATCTCTAGTGGGGAAGACAGAGTGACTGATGCACTGAGACAGTGAATCCTCCCTGCCCACTCACACACCCTAGAAGTGGGAAGGCGGGGGACAGGGTGTATTTGGATGTCCCCATGTTTGAATCCCAGCTTTGTGTGACTCTAGACAAGGTAGGCAACCCTCTGAGCTTCAGTTTCATCATCTGTAAAATGGGAATGAGACTACCTTCTGTTATGAGTGCTATATGATACATTGTATGGAAAGTACTTAGCCTAGTATTCAAAACAGAGCTGGTGCTCAATAAACAATAATTCTCCTGCCTGATCCCTACCCTTCCTTCTCAAGTACATGTAATATTTGTTGCTATTAATTCCATCTATTTTGAGAAAGGATTTGAAATAGGAGACAAGGAGGCAATCAGCCTCATCAGGGAATACAAGACATAAATCCTTTATTAGTACTTCAGTTTATCGAGCTTCACAGATACTGTGTTTTCCACATGGAAGTTTTGTGGAAATTCTTTGTTGTCAAATAATGGTGAGCATTTTTTAGCAATAAAATATTAATTAAGGCATGTACGTTTGTTTAAAAAAACCCAAAACAATGCTATTGCACACTTGGACTATAGTATAGTGTAAATATAACTTCTATATGTGCTCGGAAACTCCCCCAAATTTATCAAAATGTTCACCTCATTGCAGTGGTCTGGAACCATACTTCTGCAGTATGCAAATCCATGAAGAATTAGATTTTCTTTCTAAGCGGAAAATGTTTCCAGTTTCAATGAACCCCTAGTCCTGGCTAACAAAGCAGCATGCTGAAATACTGACAGAAGCTCTGCCATCTGTGAAATTCAACTTGAAGTGAGGACACAGGAGTGAATATAAAGATCAAAATCTTTGGTTTAAACAAGAAAATGACTAGAACGACATGAGGAGAAAGAGCAAGAAGGGCTTCATTCATAGTTCTCTTCTAAATGTGTTGCCTTCAAGTGTGAGTCACTCACTGCACAAGTGTGCATTTAGCTGAAATGATTTTCTACTATGTAGCATGGGCAGGACTACAGGTTCCTTCTGTTTGTCTATCTATCTTGTCCAAGTGGAACTATTAATCAACTATAAATTTTAAAAAATTCAAAGTCTCAATCACCCTAATAATCCTACAGACAGAGATCTGATAAAGAAATAGGACCACACTTGAACAGGTCTGGACGTGGAGAGAGAGATCTGTTGGGACCAAGGAAATGGGCATTTATTGAGCATCTACTATGGGCCAGGCATGGATCACATTATCTTTTTTAAGTTTCATGACAAATCTTATATGTCGATTCATTACTCAAATGAGAAAAGTGAGGCTCAGATCAACCAGATTGTAAAGAACTTGCATTTCAAACCAGGCCTGTCACAGACAGAGCACTTCACAGTTGCCGGCCCTCTCTTTTATCTGTCAGGTACAGGCCAGGGGCAATTTTCTGCCTGTGGGAGCTGGAACCGTGTGGTCCAGGAATGATTTTTGTTCCCCTGCCACCACGACCACTCCTGTCACCTTGCACATTGAGGGGTCTGGCTTTTAGGAGGTAGAAATCCAACTTCTCATCACTGTCATACTTCTCAAAACATGAGGCTCAGAGGCAATCGGATCAAGGTTAACAAGTTGACCTATTTGAAAGTTCTGGCTGAAATACTGTATTTTCTGCAGTGTCAGCTTCTCAGGATAATCAGGAAGATTTTAGGTCAACATAGTGTAAATAATGTTGAAACACATATCAGGAAGTTTACACCCTTATTATCATTTTTAAATACTCCAATTGAATCAAACAGAAAATGTGGGAGGACAGAATGTCCCTACATCTAACACTTATTAATCCCTGCCTCTGAGAAAGGGAACATGGCTCAGACTTGAAGTCTTCAACATCTAGAATTTAAGAACACTATTTAATTTTTCTTACATTTATATTTATTTCTAAGGTTACCTTTTACTTATGACCAGAGGTGTTGGCTTTCCATTTGGAGTTATATTAATGCTTTTTAAGTAGAAAATAATGGGTCAAATGAATGAAAAATATCAAGTAAATGACAGTGCTGTGTCCACAGAGATGCCAAAAAATGTGTAAACAGTTCTCAGGTGACTGAGGAACAATGAATGGACTGGGGTAAATCATATAGCAATAAAGGGACAGTAAATTATAGCCCTGTCTTTAGCCTTAGGGAAATGAGTGCTACTCCATTCAAATATGAAACATAAGAAATGCACCTGATCTTTTCCCCAAGAATGGGAAAACTCAGTCAAGGTTAGAAGAGATACTTACTTATGGTAATGGGTCCTTCAAAGGCATTGGGCAGGTCCGTGACTGATGTACAGTCTTCTCCAGGTGGAGCTATGAAGTGGAAAAGAAAAAATGACATGAGAACTCTAAAAAACAGAAGCAGAATTGATGTCCATTTCTTTTTGTTAGGATGACTTTTGCTATAACTTAACCCAGATCATTTTCTTAAACTTGGCCAAGTCACCTAGGAACATCTCTGACCTCAGTGATACATTTTTCACTTTTATTTTACTTCACACATCTTTGGAAGCTCCCCACGCCAACAAATCCATTCATTAACAAATGTATATGTTCTATACCAAGCATTATAGAAGGCTGGTTGATAACAATGGTAGTAAGATAGACACGGACTTTCTTTATTGAGGCATGCATTAGAAGTTATTTTTAAAATTTGTTATTATAAAATTAACATGGGAAACACTGCAAAAAATGTTAAAGAAATGAATGAACTATAATGCAGAAATCACATGTAACCCCAATGATCTGCAGAAACAATGGAAACACGTGGCTGACAAATGCAGTCAAATACTTATCAACATGAACAGCATCAGACTCTAAAGACTGTAATAATCCACATAGAACTTACTTGGTAGGAATGTTTTTTAAAAAAAACAATCTTTTGTCTTTTTATTAATGTATTAGTTAATGCATTTAACTAATCCCCTAAGTGCCTACTCTGAATAAAATACTTCTCACTGTACAGCTTCTGAGGTTGTCCACCTTTGGTACAGGTGCCCAGAATATTTTCTGAGGCTTCTGTTTTGGCTTATATCACCACAGACACTTCTGACTTCCTTTTCTTCTTCCTTCCATTTATCTTCTACTTCCTCCCTTCTTTGGGAATAACGATTTCTGACGGTACGTTTGGCCTGCCTGATCACCCACAGATGTTATGAGAGCAAATTAATGCCCTTTGAAAAGCAAACTCTGAAAGTTTCCTCCTGCCAGCCATCCCTTGAGTACTCTAGGAAGCCTGTAGAATGCTTTAACCAATGGTTCCATTCCTGCCCAAATGCTCTATTCTGTAACTGGACCTTGGTTAAGCTCTAAAAACTCACAGAGCTTGAAGCTAGCTCTGCTGTTACAGGAAGGCTGGATTCAGTTGTGTATTACAGTTTTTATACTTGTGTGTGTGTGTGTGTGTGTGTGTGCATGTGCACGCGCGCTTTAACTGATGAAATGGAAAACTGACTTCTTAGGTTAGTTTCTTCTAGAATTGCTTCTTGGCAAAGAGGACAGAACAAAGAAATGGGTGGATGGTTGGTAGATGGATAGATGGATGGATGAATAAATGGATGGATGGATGGAAGGAAGGATGGATGGACAGAGGGAGGCAGGCAGGCAAACTGCTATTACAAGGAAGTCTATTATCACAAGTATTTTAAATGTCCTGCTGTAAATCACTGGGTATTTATGACTTGGACAAACACACAAGTCTAACAAAGCAGAGTTTGCTTGCTCCCCAGCTCCTAGGAGCATCTTTTCCCACATACAAAGGGCATGATGCCCTTTACTTGACTATCCTTTGCCACCATAATGGAAACACCTGGCAGCTTTATACATTCAACCAGAGAATAGCAGGTTTTAAAAATAACCATTCTTGCAAGGGCTGATTAAAAGATTTCAGAAGAGAGATTCTTCAAAGAGAAAGTCAACTCCTTGGTAAGGTCATTCCTCGTAATCCAATCTAAGCTAGCCCCTCACCACCCCCAACACCCATCACCACTGCACAGTTGTTGTCTCTCATGTCTTCTTCTCGCTCACCACTAGCTAAAATTGTCTTGTTCATTTTACTTGCTGGCCATTCATAGCACATCTCCCGTCCCCGACCCCCCTGCCACCCAGCCATCTCCACAGAAATATAGAAACTCCACAAGACAAGCAGTAACTTTATCTTTCTTGGCCGGAACACTTATGTGCAATGGGGCTAGAGAGGTACTCAAATATTTGTTGAATGAATGGGAAAAAAAAAACCAATATAGTTTTCTTACGGTCCAATTTTCCAGTAAACATATCTAAGATATTAACCCCCCAACAAATGGTCTGCAAATACAAACAAGTCAGGAAACATTCTTATCAACCCTAAATGACAATGCATAAGAATTAATGAAAGGAAGTTTCAGGCCTATCAGTTCTTTTATTCATTTTAAACATTTACTCAGCACATATGACGGATCACAGTATAAACAAGGAGAGAAAGATAAAACATTTCTGTTTTTGAGGAATCTGCAGGTCATGGGAGACAATAATAGTATTTCTTTAGACTTCTACTGTTTTCAAAAAATTCCCAGTGATTCCCTCATTTTCAATCAGGAAAAACAGCCAACCTGGGAGATCCTGCAAACTATCTACAGGATCTATTCTGGGGACACCACCAGAAACTGACCTGACCCGTGAGATGTTTCTGACTTAACTGTTACGTTGCACAGACCCAGAAGCAGGCCTTGAATTATGACTTCTTAATGTCAAGGATGGAATAACCTCCCCCAAATTCAAAGACAATTGCAGGTAACAGTAGTGCACTGGAAATTTCCAGGAATAAAGTTGCAAGAGAATGAAGCTTGATGTCAAAACCAGTAAGGCAATTTTGCAAATGATTAGTGCATTTGTTGGAATGGAGTCCCTTCATGCTCCAATTCACCCTAACTTCCATAAAGAATATCAAATCTGGCAGGCATACTACGATGGATGCTGACCCAAATGTGCAATACATTCATGTTCCCATGTCAGATACAGGGCCTCATTGGACAGCCTTTCATTCTGTTTAATGAGCATCACACTGCTGAGAGAATCAAGCCTGTGGAGTTTCCCTGAACTGAAGGATTTGTTAGAAAGACTCTGAGGTGAGCCTCCTGATACATTGTGTCTCATAAACCTTGCCTCCACTACACCAAAACAGCCAAGAGAAATGTTAATTATTCAGTCTAGCCAATCACTCCGGGGCAGATGGACAGACAGCTTCCTCAGTGCCCAGTACATACTTGTTGAATAAATGAGTGAATTAATAAACAAATGAATGTAGAATCTTCCCCTAAATTTCTCCTTTCCAAAGAGAAACAGGCATTTTACCGAAAGTAAACGTCAAAAATGAACTAATTCAGGTCAGTTTTCTGTATTAACACAGAAGTCACCAGTGCTGGGCCTGACCACTGAGAAAGGAGGCAATAAACAGCATGAAGCCTTTCCAGGGTCTGCCGTATTTTCATTGGTCAACTACAGGCCATGTTTTACAAAAAATACTGCTGACATTTTAAGCTTGTAGAAGGTATCTTTTAAGATGGAGCTGGCTTTGGTCCCTGAGGCCAGTCTGCAAGGAGGATCACATCACTGGGCCCTGACCACCTGCTGAGCAGTCTCAGGCTAAGATGGATTCAAGGATCTTTCCAATGAGATCCCTGGCACAGAGCAGAAGGTTATCAAGATCTGTCACCCACTTAACACCCCCATCATCATCCAACTCTAATCTAGGACATTTAGAATGTATTTCTCCTTAGATAAACATTCTTCCCTAGCTCCTTTATTTTTCATCTCAGGACTTCGACAAGATTAACTCTGGAGACAAGAAAGATGGCCTCTGATTCCTTGTCACTCTACTCTCCCCAGAACAATACTGAATGAGTGTCATTGATCACTAAATACTCTTTTTTAAAACATATTGAAAATTGATAAAAAGCACTCTAACATATTGAGTAAATTTGGATACGAGAAAATGAAACCCATCACTTTGAACTTTACTGCTTTACTGCGGCTACTTGGGCAGGCAATACTCCCCAGGACTTCTCAAACTTTTTCAATGGAACTAACCTCCCCGGAGTAGAGGAAGGTTCATCAGTACTGTTCACTCCCTTCTCTGAAGATAAGCCCAACCGTATGGGCAAAAAGAAAGGCAGGGAGAAAAGTCTCAGTGGTATCTGGCCTGTGTGTGCCTCCTAAGTCGCTTTAGTCTCGTCCAACTCTTTGTGACCCTAGAGACTGCAGCCTGCCAGGCTCCTCTGTCCATGGAATTCTCCAGGCAAGAACACCGGAGTGGGTTGCCGTGCCCTCCTCCAGGGGATCTTCCCCACCCAGGGATCGAACCTGCATCTCTTATGTCTCCTTGCCATTGTCAGCACGTGCCCAGATGCTCCCACGGACCCAGCTGTGCGCTGCTGTCCACCACGCCGTGGCTTCCTTCCCTCGCTTCCATCAGGGCCCTACATACCCACCTCCTCACGGGCACGTTCTCTGATTATCTTCTCAGGAAAAAAGCACCCTTAGCGCTCTGTCGTCCCTTGCTCTGCTTTCTTTTTTACAACACTTGTCACTCTCTGACTTCACGTAAGTGATTTCATACGTATTTGCTTACTGTGGGCCTCTCCAACATAGCAGGGAAGCACCCTGGAGACAGGACTCTCTTACTACTGATGAAATACGCAGCAAGCACCTGTTATGTGACTGGAGGCTGCATGAATCCCCACTGAAGCCGAGGTTGTCAGCCATGCTGCCGAAGGCTGGCCGGCCAAAAGTCACCCAGGACTTAAAGCGACCCGCTTGGGACCAACCTGAGGCATTGAAGCAGTACGTGTCATACTGGGAGGTGTTGGACGTGAGGATATACACCCCCGTGTTGTTCGCAGCACAGATGGAATTGGGGTGGATCCGTGGAATCACCACATGCCCGTCTATGAACCCGTACCTGCAAAAGAAAACCAGAGGTCATGCATCTGCAACAGTGTAATTAGGGGCTTCATAAAATCCCATCCAACCACGTTTCACGCAGTGCAATACTTCCTTCAGCTCACCCCTAGGCATGTCAGAGTTTTTAACAACTGAGTTACACAAAAGCCAAAAACAACAGCTGAGGGACAGTGAAAGGGACCAATAAGGCTGGTGTAGACAAAGTGATTTTCTTGGAGCTCTATAAAGCTTTTTAAAACCATCGATCCATTGCCAATGAAATCTGTGATCAGCAGTCAGTTTGAACGAGCAGAGGGAAGCCAAAATCATGGATAAAATGATCCCTTTACCATGTGAGATCCACTCTGGCCCGCCATTACCATCCTATTTGCCAGAAAATACAGAGAACGACTGGCTCCCATCAGATGGGAACTAATGTTACATTGCAATGTCACATTCATCTCAGTCCATAAATCGCAAACCTGCCTTATTTCCCATACCCGCCTCTTCTTTCCTGGTCTCATCTTTTTCTGGGATTCCCTCATTCCGGACTTCATTGCTCTAAACATGTGAAAGTCGCTCAGTCATGTCTGATTCTTTGCGACCCCATGGACTGTAGCCCACCAGGCTCCTCTGTCCATGGAATTCTCCAAGCAAGAATACTGGAGTGGGTTGCCATTTTCTTCTCCAGGGGATTTTCCCAACCCAGGGATTGAACCTGGGTCTCCTGCACTGCAGGCAGATTCTTTACCAACTGAGCCACCTTATTAATTAATATATGCCAGATACAATGCCTCTTGTCCCATGGACATCTCAGGTATGATTCCACTGCTAGTGGAAGTAAATTGACAGTCATTAAAATGCGAGTACTAATGATTAATGGGCTTCCCTCATAGCTCAGTTGGTAAAGAATCCACCTGCAATGTAGGAGACTCTGGTTCAATTCCTGGGTTGGGAAGATCCACTGGAGAAGGGATAGGCTATCCACCTCAGTATTCTTGGGCTTCCCCCGGTGGCTCAGCTGGTAAAGAATTTGCCTGTAATGCGGGAGATCTGGGTTCGATCCCTGGGTTGGGAAGATTCCCTGAGGAGGGAAAGGCTACCCACTCCAGTATTCTGGCGTGGAGAACTGCAAAGAGTCAGACATGACTGAGCAACTTTTTCCACTAATGATTAAGTACACAGCAATGCCTCATTAGCTCAGGAATTTTCCAGAAGCAACAGTCAGAGAAGTGCTTAAACTCTTCCATCCCATCATGGTGTTTCTGGGAGCGTGCTGGAGAAACACGTGTATCCTTTTCAGATACAACATACAGTACCCAGCCTCTGACTAGCATCCTGGTGGTTGAATACTTACCGCACGATTTCTCTCAAATCTAAAATGCTTAAAAAATGAGGTGTGGGCTGAGAAAATACCATTTGCAAGGGAAAAGGTGGTGGCAAGGGAAAAGCAGAGCACTAAATCCAACAGGTTTTTGAAAATGCAATGCTGGCTAAAATGCACAGCCCAAATCCCTTCAATCTTTCTTGCCAGGGGCGACAATATGTACTGCATTGCCCTGCAAGACCCACAGAAATGGCTGTGAGTCTGAAATTTCTAAGCACCTTGAACTCATTATGTCTAAATTGCAAAAGCTGACATGACTAATTCCTCATCTGCATGGCCAGACTGGTTTCTCCAAAGACTCCTGAGCTTGATCGGGGGAGGGGCACAATTAAATATTAATTCGTTTCCATGTATCTGAGGATCCCAGCTAATCAGGGTGGGGCAGACTTTAGAGAGTAGCTGCTAAGGTTTTCCCATCATCTCTTGAGACTCTCCCATCTGTCCTATGGCAGGTATCTGATTCACAGCTACCCGAGTGAAATTATGGAAATATATTTTGCAACATTTAGAACCAGCTATGGGTGAAATGATAGATTTCTTTGGCACCGTTTTTCTTTGCCTTTTTTAAATAATAAAACTCCTGGTGAACCCACTCCCCATTTTACTCCCATCACATTCTGCTAGCCCGTATAACACTGACATTCTAGAATTTACAATACCCTCTGTAAATTATTCCTAAGTTTTTACCACATTGTATTGACTGTAGGTTTTACGTGTCACCCTGCCCATAAGTTAGGGATATTAAAATCTTTATGTTTGTATACTACATGAGTCGACTTAGCACACATGTACACATATTACATGAGTAGGTTGCTGTTCCCAGGAAGAAAAGAAATACTCGACAAATCCATCCATGCAGCAGACTTTCATCTCTCTTTTGCTCTCGGTTCTTCAGGAGGGCTGGGTCATTAAATCTTGCCCTGGGCTCAGAAGCTGGCCTGGAGTCTAGACTCCTTCCCATGCAAGTGATGTGGCCCAGGACAGGCTGCAGAACTAAGCCTCGGTTGCTTACTCTGCAAAGTGGAATCATACAACCAAGCCCTGGTGCAGTTTGAGGATTAAGACAGAGATACGCATAGATGAGCTGGGGTCTGTGCTCAGTCACTGAGTCATGTTTGATTCTTTGCAACCCTGTGGACTGCAGCCTGCAGGCTCCTCTGTCCATAGGATTCTCCAGGCAAGAACACTGGAGTGGGTTGCCATTTCTTCCTCTAGAGGATCTTCCCAACCCAGGGATCAAACTCAAGTCTCCTGCATTGGCAGGTGGGAAGCCCTTTGTCCACTATCTAAGGGCTGGATAATTGGCCACTGGGCACAGTAAGAACTTCCCTTGTTCTCAGCATATAAGAACATTTCCGTATTTCATAAGTTTTCCTTGCCTGCATTTCACAATCAAAATTCAGCTTATGAAATCCACTCTCTTAGGCCACTGGCCTAGTCAGGGCCATATTTAAATAATTAGCCTTAGGTATAGAATAAATGGACCTGCTAATTAACTTTTCTGCATTGAGCCTACACCTCAAGTTCAGAAGCTACCCGAGCTATCTGCTCCTTTTATATTCTCCCAGACCCTGCTGGAACACACGCAGATGTCTGCACACATCTGCTCTTCACTTCAGAGCAAAGCTGCTCAACACAACTTTCTGTGAAATAGAAACATTCTATAATCTCAGTTGTCTGACAAAAGTAACTGCCAGGCATTTGTGGCTAATTAGGCACTTGAAACATAGTTAGTGCCACCAAGAGCCAAAGTTTTTATTTTATTTAATTTTAATTAGATGTCAATAGCCAAGCGTGGCTAGGGGTCACCTATTAGAAATATTGAAAAGATGCTTCATTTTCCTCGTCAGCCTAAGAGTCTCAGTTCCCACCCAGACTAAAGGTGCCTTACCCAAGGACAGGGGATAGACGCACTTAACTTACATTGAATGGTTTCCAAAAAGAGTTCTGCAGCTTGACTTTTTAAAAAGCAGCCTGTGTTTGTATGTGAGCGTGTTAACGAGAAAAGAGAACCATGTTACCTAATGTCACATTGCAAAAGTGCAGAGGGGCGGCTGCAGGATGGGGCGGAAACTTCAGACCGCAGTTGTCCAGATTCCCTAGGGTTCTTCTCATGAAAACAAACCAAACCCAAACACCTCACCACGGTGGTCACCACTGCTCGCTCTTAATGTGCACCACTTACCACAGGGCCGTAAAAAAAATTCAGAAAATAAGGGCCATGCCTGCTGTGAGTGGGCCATGCCTGCTGTGAGTGGCTCAGCGGTAAGGAGTCCACCTGCCAACGCAGGAGACGCAAGAGATGCAGGTTCAGTCCCTGTGTGGGAAAAATCCCCTGGGGTAGGAAACGGCTACCCACTCGTGTTCTTGCCTGGAAAATTCCATGGACAGAGGAGCCTGGCAGCCTACAGTCCGTGAGGTCGCAGAGAGTCAGACACAACTAAGCAGCTGAGTGTGCACACACAGGCGAGCCTGCTGCGAACATCCTGGACAGAAGGACCTGAGGACGGCTCCCTGAGCGCTGTGAGGCCCGGTAGGAGGCGCTCAGGAGGCCTCCCTCAGCCCCTCTCACCGCTTTGCAATCACTTGTAATAATATACATCTTAATAATTCTCGTGCCCTTTTCTCTCAAATCAGAGCAACACAGAAGAGAAACAAAATCAAAAGAGAGAGAAAGAGTTTGAAAAGCCTGCTTCAGCCAAGTCTGCAGGGTCAAGCTCCAACCAGGCACGTATTTATCTTAAACACTGTTATTTGGCTTTTCGATTTCTTGTGGTTCTGACAATGATGTTGCCGGCTTCTTCAAAGCCCAGAGAGCGCGCTATTGACAGGAGCTTCAGGCAAGTGGATTCCAACCTATGACCTTTAAAGCCTTCCCTGGGAAACTCTGCTGTGATTCACAAAGGTGTCTTTGGCTGGCCTTAAATTTTAGTAGTCATACTGGTTCCAGATTGACTTGCCCAAATTCATGGGTGGGGCCGACTCTTCAGGCAACCGGCCACTCAGCTGTCAGAGAGGACGCTTCCGGGTCTAAGTCCCGCCCCCTGGACCCAGGCAGCTTGCCTTCCGAAGTGGGCTTGGGGCCTAGGCAGGTGCCGGTCACTTACCTGCAGGTCTCAAACCCTATGCTCCGGGCCACCTCCATCTGGGCCATGGTGGGAAGCGTGCTATTGAAGGCCTTGCAGAGGTCGGCAGCCTCAGTCTTGGAAATGCTGTAGCGACCATTCTTCTCCACGTGGAATACGCCTGCATATCGGCAGGTTATATTCAGATCTGTGGGATGAAAAGGAAAGGTTAGATTGTTCTGCATCCATAATTTGGAAAGGATAAGAAGTTTGTTTTAGAGCAGCCTCATTGCAAAGCCGAATAATCTTCCCTACTGGCCAGAGCCTTCCACCTTCACTGCAGCATGTCAAAGTGTAGCTCCCTCATGCTTAAATCTGAGATAAGAAGCAGGAAAGTAGCATCACTTGTACATTCTGTCCAGGTGGTGCTAGTGATAAAGAACCTACCTGCCAATGCAGGAGACACAAGAGACCTGAGTTTGATCACTAGGTTGGGAAGATCTCCTGGAGGAGGAAACAGCAACCCACTCCAGTATTCTTGCCTGGAGAATTCCATGGACAGAGGAGCCTGGCTGGCTACAGCCCATGGGACCACAGAGAGACACGACTGAGCGACTGAGCACATCATTGAGAAAACTGAGGCTCAGAAAAGTGAGCTGCCCAAGGAAGTGAGGGTTGCTGTCCAGAGCCTGTAACTGCCTTCCTGAATCCCAGCTGTTCTGTTTTAGCAATGTATTTCCGAGCTGATAGCCAGGGTGGGAATGTCTGTGACTGCAGTGTCCCTGGGTACCCAGCTTCTTTGGGGTTCTGTGTGGCATCATCTTTCAAGAACCCTGAGAGGTGACTTATAGGTGAGTTATATACATATTATTCATAGGTGAAGAAACTGGAGCTGAGAAAAATGAAATGACTTCCCGAAGTCACCCAGCAATAAGTGGCAGAGCTGGAATTCCATCTCAGGTCTGTTTAACACCAAAACCCACACTCTGATCCACTTATTCCCGTGTGCCCAGGAATCCTTTCACGTCATTAGAGCAAGTTTTCACTCTGGAGGGATACACCTAAACAACTGTGACCTAATGACAAAGATAGGGTCAGCGTTAATGGAACTGTAAGGACAACAACTGCTCTCTCCTTTCTGAGCAGGAAGTAGCTTACAACCACGAGAAAACAGTGTCTGACAAAGAGCAAACTGAGATGATAAGAGAACTGTGAAACCTCTCCACAATCTTTCTCGATTCTGAACATAGTAAAAGAAGAAATGGCGCTTTGAAAAGACATAAGGCAGTATCAAGTGATTTTCTTTTCTTTGTTTTATCAGCACACAGTTGCTTTTAAAGAAGTGTCAGAACTAGGTGAAACGGAGCAAATGTGTTCGGGGGATTTCCTTTCTGGTCTAATGGTGTCCTTCGGAAGCCACTCACAAAACGCTTGGCTGATGAGGCTAGAGGAGCACAGAGGAGGGAAACGGACAAGGTGCTTTTGAAATACTGTTTGTTTTTACTGACATTTTCGGCTTTGGCTTCGGTTGACCAATCTTTGCCAAGAGAAACTGTTGCACTGAGTGACTGTCCTTCCGGAGGCATTCTGTGTGTAGCTTACAAAAGAGAAACAAAGCCTCCCAGTCAGCTTCTTGGAGGTGAGACTGTTAGGAGAGATCTCAGCAGATGCCAGGGGAGGCAGTGCGTGGCCGTCAGCACGCGGCCAGGTGGCTGCTGTCACTCCCAGGTTAAATATTGAGTCTGAAGCATGGACGGTGGCTTGGAGCTAAACGGCAGTTTCTGTGTTATTAACATGAATTTGAGTTTGCCACCTGGCATGTAGAATATGCAAATGCGAAAGGAACCATTCAGATTGAGACTTGTGAATAAAATCTCTTGAGTTCCACGAGGAGCAACCAACATCCCTTGATAGACAACACACACATGCACGTGTGAAGGTGTCTCTCCGTGTGCGTGAGACTAGTGAGTGTGTGTCGTGTGTGCTTGTGGTCAGCCAAAACAGGAAAGCACGGATAAAATCTAGCTTCAGCCTTCCTAGAAATGCAAAAATTAAACGGGGCGTGGAGTAGATCTCAGAAAAGGGGCTGCTGGGTGAATGAAGAAATTCTATGCAATGTAAGGATTCCACAGCTTATATTCATCTTCGTCTCACACATAAAAATGGTCCCATCCTAGCCCTGATGGCATTCAGCCATCTGGGAATTCCAAAGACGGTTCCAAAACCTTCAATTCAGGTCAAGAATATTCAGTTCCTCCCCTCTGGGTCCCTCATGCCTTAAAAAGGACCAAGAGCCTTTCAGGGTTGTGTATCCGTTAAGTCTTAATACTGTATGAAGATTTTCCAACACTTTCTTAACACTTACACAAGCGGAAATTACTACCCCCAAAGGGTATTAGTAATACTAACAGCAATAATAGCTGTTAACACATATTGTGCACTTATGATGTATAGGCCAGACACTCTTCTGTGCATTTGACAAGTATTAACTCATTTTATCTGTAAAACCCCGCTATATGGTAGGTAATATTATTATCCCCACTTTCCAGATACAGAAACTGAGACACAGAGAGGGGAAGAAACGTGCCCAGGTTCACAGAACTCGTAACGATGGAGCCAGGGTTCAAACCCAGCCAGTCTGGGCATCAAGAGACCACAGGCTTAACCACCAGGCCACTACTCCTGAACCCAACTTACAGAACATGTTATGCACTGTCAACCTCCCCCATTTAGAACCCGAAATATCCCCAAGGTTTAAGTTAGAGCAAGGCTGAGGCATGAGTAGCCATGGACCACCAATCACAGGACAGTCACCCCTGTCCATGGCAATGGCCCCACTGCCAACACCTGTAGAAAGGCAAGACTCCCCAGACATCTGGGCATCGCTCTGGACAAACAGAGATCTCTGTGATCCAGGAGTTGCCGTGACTCAAGGGCCTAACAGTAAATAGCCAAATGAATCTCTCCAACAAGCCTGTCCAGCTGGACATGAATCAAGAATGCTTTCCGCTGGGCCCTCTGGTCTCCAATAAATCATGAAATAAAGGAGTGATCCCATGTTCCTCCCTCTGAGAGATCTGATGGGCAACACTAACGGTTGGAGGCCACTTTCAGATTCGGGGTGGTGTCTTTCTGGAGGGAGAGTGTTTGTTATGATGGGGTTGCCAGGAGGACAGAGTCACCCAGGGATCTCACTGCCCATGTGGGAAGAGCTCTACCAGTGGCCTGTTGGGAAGACCACAAAAAACGTGCTCACCAAGAGACCTGTGTAATCCACTCTCTGGCACCAACTCACAATGAAGCCTTGTAGTTCAACTACAAGGAGATATACCCAAGGTATACCCTGGCTTCAAGTCCTGACATTGCTACTAGCTCTGGGTTACACAGATAGATAGTTCCTTAACCTCTCTGACACTCTGCCTTCTCCTTGATGGGATGACAATGTCACCAGGGTTTGTGGGACTGTGAAATGAGACAAAGCATGTCAAACACTCCATATGATGTTTGGCACTTAATTAGAGCCAATGGGTGTTTTATACTTATTAGGTGCGTGATCTACTTCAGCTAAATTAATTCTCACAAAAATGCTATGGAATAGGCACTACCACCAAGCCCATTTTAGAGAGAAAGAAACTGAGGCACAAACAGATTAAATAGTGTGTCCAAAGTCGCCCAAGTGGGGCAGTCAGGGTTCCATCTCCTGTGCTATGCCACCAATTCCATGGGGTTCTAGGTAAATTTGTTTTTGGATAAACCAAAGCTGACCCATAACACCATTAATCTTGCCTATGTTTTTCACTAAGACTCACGTCAAGAAAAATAGATCTTTTTAGTAAAATCACCCTAGCACATTTCAAAATCTTGCCGAGGGCTTGAGATGAGTAGCTTCTTGGTTTACTCCAGTCGCTTCACAAGTGGAAGAAAATCACAGCCTCTTCTGAGAGTACCACACTGTGTAATCTTTACCCAACGCGCCATTGTCTGAGGGTCTCCAGAGTCTAGAAGGTGAGTAGTGCTGGGGAGGGGATGTCACACAGCTGACCAGTAGGGCTGAGGGACAAAAGTTTTCATGAGTGGGTCTTCAGGGGTCTATAAACCTGTGAAATTACTTATATGCAAGATTCTATGTGTATGTACTTATCTATGTATCTGTAGGCGTGTGCATGCAAGTGTGTACACGTGTGTAGGTGTTTCTCTGGGGACAGCATCCCTGGGTTTCCATTAGCTTCTCAAAGATGTCTATGACAGAAACAGGTAATAAATTATAAGAAATTATTATCTTTAAAGTGAAAGTGTTAGTCACTCAGTCATGTTCGACTCTTTGCGACTCCATGGACTATAGCCCACCAAGCTTCTCTTTCCATGGGATTCTCCAGGCAAGAATACTGGAGTGGGTTGCCATGCCCTCTTCCAGGGGATCTTCCTTTAAGGTCTCTTCATTAATTAGGAATTCCAGGGTTCTAAAAGTTTGGAACTTCTTTGTGGGCTTCCTGAGAGCAGTGACTGCGTCTCTCCCCCAGGACCTTGTGCAGTACCACAGAGGTAGGCACACGTGGAACAAATGAATGAAGGAAGGAAATGCTCCCCACTCCCCCCAGGACAAACAGACTGTGTGAGGTACAAACAGAACAAGTCGTGTCTAAAAGAATCAGCAGCTGGCCTTTTTGAGAATTCCCCAGTAGATACTTCAAATGTCTTGAAGCATCTGCTTCTGAAAACTTTTGCCATTTTCCCTGAAAGCAAATGTGGCAGAGACCAACTTTCAGCTCTGTAACCAGTACTGTCTGTCTGGACTTCATAGTTGTCCTCTCCAAGATGAGCACAGCCTTTTTGCATCCTATCATAGGGCCCCTTCTGAGGCCGGATCTCCTTAGAGAGAACACACACAGTCACCCCACATGCAGACCCCAGGAGACCATCTGCAGTCATGCTGTGCCCAGAGACTCAGTTCTTCAAGCCAGGCTTCTCCAGATGGCCCCAAATGAATTAGTGTGTTTTCCAACAGGCGCCACCTAGATGGGCCTGGCCCCTTCCGTCATCTCCTCAGAAAGGGTGAGGCAGCATTAAGGCAGAATGAGATTTTTTTTTTTCTGATTTGGTCTCACCAGAGTAGGCTGTGTGTCTGGGGAAGTTGGTCTTCTTGAAGACCAGGAGAAGGCCAGTTCCTGCAACTGAGTGACTCGTGTATTTTCCACGGCCATGATAATA